AACCTTTTGTGGCAGTTAAAAGCAAACATCCCTTTGGAATAGTAAGTCACATCAGAAATGTCATTTTAATGTATCTTAACGGCCCTGTTCTTATGCTAATATGAATGGATGTATCATATTTCTTCACCCAACCACTTTTATATTTGAAACAGTGGAATTTTGTGGTGATGGTGTGGCTGTAGATTGTCTTCTTTCTTCCCTTTCTTATACATACCAAAAAGTTACCTATGAGCTAAGTAAGCCGAGCAAGAAACTGAAATAGAAGATGAAACATTGGGCTCTCCGAACTACATGGTTTAATGCAGGTTGTATTCTTCATAGTAACTGTTGTGAGAACTTCAGATGCAACCTGAGTGCTATTAAGACTCCAAAAATATTACTTCCAGATACTTTTTACATATCTCTTATCTCATTGTTCAGAGCCAATCTCAATTTTCGTAGTCTTATACGTAGTTTTAGTCTCCATTTCTGATACCCTTCAGTGAGTGTTCTCATCACATAGCAGGTTATGAAGAGCCGGGGTAGTGCAATCTGTATTGTGACTGGCTGGGTACCTGGGGTTCCTTCCCTTGGGGTAAGCAGCTGGGGTATGAAAGTGACCACTCACCTCCAACTAGTGCCGAGGTTAAGAAAATTTGGATCTATACATCCACTCCCCCATACGTTCATGACATAGTGCTTAATTAAGCACAGGGACAACTTTACCTCTCTCAGCTGGTATGATCAGGGTACTTGTTAGTGTAGTTGGTTGAGGAACTATGCTACAAACTGGATGGTTGCGGGTTCAATTCCCAGTGGGTCATTGGATTTTTCAATTGACCAAATCCTTCCAGTGGCACTATGTCCCTGGGTTCAACTCAGCCTCTAACAAATGAATACTGGGAATCTTCTTGTGGGTAAAGGGCGGCCAGTATGTAAGGCTGGCAACCTCACTAATTTAGTAGTATATAGGAAGTGCTGATGGAAATAAATAAAAATATATCACTGCAGCAATTGTTTCCTCTGTCAGAAGCTAAATCTAGGGTCTCCTTTATCCAGCTGAAGCCATTCTTGGATATATTATTGCATGGTATGAGTCTCTCCAGCTGCCCTCAACACAATTTGAAAGTCCTCTGGCTCTAATCCATCTTGCTTCTAAATGCCATCTGTCTTTTAAAGTATGTACTGAACTGTGAAGAATTTTTTGTTGTTCAAATTTTGATCCAGATTAACTATAGCTGGATTAACAAGGGTTTACTGTATTTTATATTTCTAATGTGTCTGTAACTGTTGGGAGTGTGGTTGATTCTGTACTGTTACTCAAAATTTAGCATATTCTTCAGACTGGGGTGTTTGAATATCATGAAGTGTTTGTAGGTTACACAGGGAAGATGTTTGGGATTTATCAGTTGTAGAAGTGACAAAGTACAGTTCTGTTGTTGTAGAGCTGTGAGAGGTAGGTTTACTCATGAGGCTGTGAGTGGTTCATTTTAGTACAGAAAACTGAAGACTGTACAGGTCAGTTTAGTGGTAATGTATTTTGGGATGTGCTAGGTTTAAATCTAGGCTAGAACACTGTCTAGTCTGATGTTTTTCATAAGTTTCTTCAGTCTCCTTAGGCAAATGCCAAGTTAGTTCCTCAGTCTGACCATGATTGCTCCCTTCCAAATTCATTATGCATCAGCTGTCCTCCTATTTGATGCTGTATGGCCTGTGGTACTGTGGGCTCCATTAAATAACCCACAAAAATATGGGAAGCTGAACAGGTATTGCCAATTGGAAACTGACTTTTAATAAAGAGGAGACCTAAGCCACAGCTATGAAAGTAGTGTTTGTTACTGATGTGATGTCGTATAGGGTTGGTTATGCTACATCATTATTATAATTGTACATGATGAACCGAAGGTGAAGATCATGTGAGAAGGATAGCTAAGGAGATATAACACATATTCATTTATTATGTACATAGCATTTTTCTGGTAGAAGTGTGTGCTAAACTTGGGTGGGAAGATATTTTTGAACAAGTACAATGAATGAGCATTTGTATGAAGTCTGTGATGAGTGATGTGTGAATATGTTACTTCCAAAAGTATTATTATTAGAACAAGAACATTATCAGTAATATGCATACCCACACTGGGACATCTCAGTCAGTATAATGATGGGCTACAGCCTGAATTGCCAGTGTTTGATTCGTGGAAGGGACAAGAGTTTTTTTCTTCTCAGCAGCATTCAGACTACCACTGAGGCTCACCCAGACTTGTGCAGTGGAGACTAGGGCTCTTTCCCTGGGTTAAAGTGGTCAGGTTGTGAAGCTTATCACTCACCTCCATTTAGTGCCAAGGTTAAGAATGGTGGAGCTATACCTCCACTCCCTATGTGTTATCATGGCATCTTGCTTAATTGGTTAAAAACAGGGACAACTTTGTATTTATTTATACAGACTAGGATTTATTCTAATGGGATGACCCATAAACTATATTTGAAACAACTTTTAGAGGGAGGTATTGTCAGGTAGTGATATCGATTGTATCTCCATTAGAAAGTTACGAAATTCAGTTCAGCCTGTAATGGGAACCAGTATCACCATGCTGTGGTTCTTGTTGAACACACAGGACTTTCTATTCCATAAGGTTGTGTATTCAGGGTATGACTTATCCTTTGAGATGTGTTGAACAGTCATGGGATTGATCATATTTCAGTTGATAAAGGTGTTTAGTTATGACTGGTGCACAGTCGTATACAAGGGCTCACGTACTGCAGTGTGATCATGTGATAGCTACCTAAAACTTGAGTCATTAGAACAGTAGAGACAGATACAACCAATTGTCACATGGATGCCTTACATGGACACCGTTTGTTCTGGCATGTGACCCGTATGTGGCATTTTGACACAAAAAGTAACTTGATCGGTAAATGTGCAATACAATAGCAGGGGCTAAGGAGCATGATTGGCTGGCACATAATGTGTTATCTTGCTTCACAGTAGCTGCTAAGCTTTGCTGCTCTAAGGGCAATGTTGAAGGTACATCGAGTTTTGCATGGGCATGTGCATGTTGGTTTACTGAGTCTGCTGCTAGTTAGCTGAGTTGATGTCAGGAGTGTCTGTCTTCTCCTGTGTGAGTGGCCAAACGATTTTCAGGTAGCTCTTAGTTGACGGCACTGTATTGATCACTGTTGTAACACTTTCACTGCCAACAGTGACTTATCATGTTGCAACTGATTGTTTAAATGTTGTTTCCTCCAATGAGTGCCTTCATATTGTTACAAAATGGGTGTAGATTATGAGTTCTAGGAAATTGAAATGTATCTGCTCTTTGTTGTTGGTTAGTTTATGATGATGCCAGTGTGACAAGAGTATATAGCGTTGAATGGTAAGTGACAGATTAATGATGAATTAGAAGAAAGGATTTTGAAGGAAGAAATCTTGGCCTTATTGAGGTACCATCCTGCAGTTGTCTGGAGAGATTAGGGAAGCCATGAAATGCTTCATCAGGACAGCCAATATCCTGGCCTAGATAGAAATAGAACACTTCTTTAATACAAGAGTAGTGTGTTACCACTAGTCCAACCTGTTCAGTAAAATATGTATTGTTTTTATAGTTTGTAGTGGCATTTATCCAATAGAAAATGCTAGGCTTTTAGAAAGGCTTGTGACAGTTTGTTTAACCATTGTTTTACTTGAGGTTATAGATGAAATTTTAAACATCCAGCAGTTGGTACATTACGAGAAAGACTTCATCTCAAAAATGAACAGAGCAAGTAGTAACCATTCAGTAGTTATTTAACACATTGAGCACTGTAGAAGTAACAGAGAATCTTGAATATGGATTTCTGGAGAATATAGTAGATGATGGTGTGGAAAGTAATGAAGCTAACACTGATAACCAATGGGAAAATGTATGATGAAAAGAGAGCCTTGGAATATCACTAAAATTTTTTTCAGTATCCGTAATTTGGTGAATAATGTTTTAGATTTGTAGAACAAATAAAACAGGTTAATATGCAGAGGCTGTAGCATTGTGGTATCATAAATGGACATGTGTATTTGTGTATGTGTCATAGGTCCAACTCCATTGATATTTTTCTTCTTCCTCTACATCAAGTATTAGGCCTCAAGGCCTGTTGTGGCTTCTCAAGTTTGGTCCTGCCATCTTTTTCTGGGTCATGCGTGGCCTCTTGTTCCTTGAAGGTGATAGTTCATTATTTGTCTGGGAATTCTGTTTTCAGTCTTTCATTGTATGTATTTTTTCTATTTGTCTGAATTTATTGTCATTTAAACTTTTAATGTGTAGTTTATTCATAATATCAGCATTTGTCTTATTTTGTTTTGTTGTTCCATTAACTGATCTAAAGAATTGCATCTCAGTAGCATGCAATCTACTTTTATTCCTGGATATCATGACCCATTTTCCACAGCAGTTGCTCCAGAGAAGGAATGGCCAATTGGATATACGTATTTTTAGTGAGCCAGATCAAAAATCTGGACGTGTATGTGTGGGAGGGGGTACAGGATATGACATGGGATTTAGGTGTGGAAACGTCTTAAAATGTGTCCATTAAGCATGCCAAAAAAATAGATGGGAGCATATTAAACTGGATTCTACGAAGGTTAAGTTTTCAGAATATGAGCAGAATTGAACTGGCTAAGGATTATATTGTATGGTAAACTTTAATTAATTTGACGGAAAAGCAGTTTTATTCTTGCATTATCTTTAGGAGAAAAGTTCGCTGCTTGAGATAGGCTGCTACTTTTCTAGGCTGTTCTTTTCTCCTTGTTTTTTTTTTCTGCAGTCTCTGCTCTTTCCTTTTCTGTTTTTTGTCTTCTCTGAAACAGTGATATAGACTTTAATCTGTATAAAAGAGTGATATTTGGTAGTTTTAAAATATATTTATATGTACCATCTAGATTCATATACATGTTTTAATGCATTATGTGTACATACATGTGTGTTTGTGTTAATTTTGTATTAGTAATTTGGTAAAAGTTTCATGTAATGTATTTTCATAATCTGCTTCAGCAGTGGATCCACTGTTTCTTCCACCGAGAAGGGAAACTTCACGGCGGAAAGCCAAAGAGAAAACGAGCATGAAGCAGTTACTTGACCGACAAGAGAATTTGGATGAAGATTTTGATGCAGATGAGCCAGAGTTTGTAGACTCTGATTCAGACCCAGCATGGACTCCCGCAGCAAAGGTAACGTGTAACATGTTTGTTTTGTTTCATAAATACACCACTGTCCAAAAAGTATCTGACTTTATTTTTTGCTACTGCAAGTATTGGCCAAAGAGGTGGGAAAACTGAGCGTAGTGGTAGAAGGGGCTTTCATGTGCATGCGTGATTTTTTGTTGACTCGCAACAGTGCTGGATGCATCTGTGGCTGCCGGATAGCGAAGTGGTGTAACACATGTTCACTGCATTCTCATTTTGCTCAAGATGACAGAACGCTTGGAGCAGCGATACTGCGTCAAGTTTTGTCAGAAACTTGGGGATACCCAAGTGGAAACAATCCTCAAAAATCAGGAAGCTTTTGGCGATGATGCAATGGGGCTCACTGAAATTAAAGATTGGTTCAACCGCTTTAAAGATAACTGTATGTCGGCGGACAGTGACCAGCATTCTGGGAGACCGTCAACGAGCCAAAATGCTGTTTCTGGCTGTTCACGAGATTGAGGACACTGCTAAAAGGCTCCCTTTTTGACAGCCATGAGGACATCATATAGAACGTGACCGCAGCTGCACACCATTCCAAAAGAAGTGTTCCAGAATTGCTTCCAGCAATGGAAGGACCGCTGGGCTAAGTGTTGTGGAGTCACAAGGGGCCTACTTTGAAGGGGATTAGGTATTGTAAACACCCAGATACAGAACTTTGTTTTCCCAGCCCAAGGTAGANTGTCAACGAGCCGAAATGCTGTTTCTGGCTGTTCATGAGATTGAGGACACTGCTAAAAGGCTCCCTTTTTGACAACGTGACCGCAGCTGCACACCATTCCAAAAGAAGCCTTCCAGAATTGCTTCCAGCAATGGAAGGACCGCTGGGCTAAGTGTTGTGGAGTCACAAGGGCTTACTTTGAAGGGGATTAGGTATTGTAAACACCCAGATACAGAACTTTGTTTTCCCAGCCCAAGGTAGATACTTTTTGGACAGAGTTGTAGATGTGTATTCTCTACACTGACTGAGGTAATGAAGTTTTAAGGTGCTGTCACAGATGTTTTTTCAGTCACCTTTTTGTGGACATTCTGAGCTACAGGAAGATTGTGTGAGAATCTTCAGCTAATCTTGGCCATCAAGTCGACTTCGCTATGTATTTGTACCCACAGGACAAGCAGCAAGTCCGTAGGCCCACAGGTCACAAATTAAACTCACCCAGATCACTCAGAAATATAAAGAGCTTGATACTTGAAGCCTCAGTAGAAATATGTCATGAACTATCTCTAATTTTTTACATGAATATTTTATTTGAACACTTGTTTTTATTATGTTGGCAACTCTCAAATACTGAAATATAATGTTAGAGATGGCAACATCGTAGTAAACAATTTAAGAACTAGGTTATTTCTTGTTACCTAAGTGATGTTTACTGTTATGTGTTACTATGGTTATAAGTTTGTATGTATATAAGGCATACTTCTGTGTCAAATTTCTGAGTCTTAATAAAGCAGGAGTAGAGTGAACACTGATTCTTACTTATCATTCGATCTATGGGAAACTGAAAATAACCGTTTTAATGTGTAACTCTCATAAGACATTTTGACACAGAGAAAAATGTTATTGACTAAATGTTTAGTACAGTAGCAGATTTTTAAGATCACACTTGACAGGCACATGATGCAGGTGATTGCTTTATGGAAGTTGAGTTGTTATTGGTTGATGCTGAAGAGAAATTCTGATGTGCCTTTGGCCTGGCATCTCCATCATGAGTCTGAAAATATGCATTAAAGTTGACACAAATAGTATGTGTGTCTCCTTCCCAGCCCAGCCAGATGAATGCATCAGACGCTCAGATAATCTTCCTACATATATTAATTATGTATATACTCATACATGCTCCTTCTGAGGAAGATGACAGACCCTATTTACATGTACAGAACTATAAGGCTTAATTTGGATGTTATCCATCGTCTAGTACAGGGTGGGGCGCAGAAACTTCCTTTTTTGAAGGCGAATAAAAGAAAAATTATTGCTGATAGACAAAATTTATGTTTAGCTAATGAAAGAACATACTTTAAAGTTTTAAATCATGTAGTTTTAAACAAAATATGAAGGTGGTGGCCACTGTTCTCTATGCACTGATGCAACCGTTTTCTGAAGTTCCCCTCTGCACCGGAATTTGGGCTACTTCCTGCCGAATAACATTCTTCAGCTGAAGCAGGTTTGTGGGGTGATGTTTAAAAACCTCTGACTTGAGGTATCCCCATAAAAAAATCACAGGGTATTAGAGTAGGTGAGTATGCTGCCCACGGGATGTCACCTCGAAGTGAGATGAGCCATCTGGGGAACTTTGTCCTCAAAACTGTCATCAAAGCTCGGGCTGTGTGGGATGTGGCACCACCCTGTTGGAACCAGACATTTCCTAGATGCATTTCTTCAAGAGCTGGTTCGAAAAAGATCTCAAACTCAACTGTCGAACTGCCTCCACGTTTTCTGGCATCGTAACAGTCTGTTGTTGTCCTGATGATTTTTTCACCACACTCCCAGTTGTCCTAAAGTTCTTTACCCACAAAACATTTGATTCCCGGTCAGGAACCAGACCTCTGGGGTTAATTTCGAAGTGATTATGGAACGCATGCTGCACCGCCACGTAGAAATGGTTGTTTGAAAAACAGGCTTCGACAGCAAATGCATGCTGCTCACTCGTCCACCTCATGTTTCCTACTGAGGGGTATTAGACAGAAACTTCCTCGACTGCTGCGTTCGCTGAGCCTATCCCCACTTTTCTGCGACCTCCCCTCCCTTCACAATGCGTCTTCACAAAAAGGAAGTTTCTGGGTCCCACCCTATATATATAAGACAGAAACCACCACCTGAGGATGGAGACAGATCCAGTTTCCGAAATGTTATGGTTTTTTGACTTACATATACCAGACAATGGATGAAGTCCATAATAAGCCTTATATTTCTGTACAGCATACACCGTCAGAATCCTTTCAAGTCTACCTATTAACATTTTTGATACTGCTAATAATGTTTGGTGTGTAACTGTTTATTCAAGTGTTTGAGGACACCTTATCATCTGCATTGTTTATGTAGAATCAGATGGTGGTTTAATGAACTGGTATTTACATTTACTCAGAAGTTTGTTATTTGTTATATTTCAGGTAATCTGTTTTCTTTTGAAACCTGCATTAACATCCTGTAAGACTAGTGATGCCAGTCCCATTATCTGTTGAAAGCACAATGGCAAGAAAAATTGTCATCACCCCTCTTCATGACCAACATACCTCACAAGAAAGTTACAGTCACCTTTTTTTCTCTATCACATGGTTGCCCTCTATTGGATAGCACCCCAGACTTTGATTCATCCGGTCATGGCTGCACCTCCCACTCACCACCCACTGCCAGATCTGTACAGAGGGTTCAAAAATCACCCCTAAGGACATAAACCATGAAGATAGTAATGGCATGATTTGCCAGAACATTGGAAAACCTTCAGCGTTCCGTGTGGTGCATTTGTGAAAGCCAAAAGCTGTACATATAATATTTGATCCTACATGCACAGAAAATATGATTTTCCTGTAGTATAGTTTATTGTATTTATGTAAATCTTTAAGCCGATTAGATTGGTTTGCATGCTTGGATTACAGCTGGCACAGCTGAAGCGGTCAGCTCAGTGTTAATCACTCAGTAGAGAGCATTTCTGCCAGTAGAATGCATCAGGTGTTACATAACGTCATTTAAAGCAGAGACTAGGATTTCATGGCGTTTACATCTGTGGTCATTTGAAGGTTGTTTGGAATACTGTGGGTTAGTAAGAACAGTGGAATTAACCCCCCCCCCAGAGCAGCTCTGTTGTGGTTTGACTGTCAGATGATTAATAATGCTTTATATTATTGTCACGTGTCTTGAGNTGATATGGTCGTTATGTGGGATGAATTGGAAATAATCTGTAATAACTTTCTGCTCTTTTGTTTTTGAATTTTAGTGTTGGTGCTCTCTCTCATTTTAGAACTTGGTTTCCATTACAAAAATAAGTGCACGAAAGAAGTAACTATGTCCGATCTTCGTATGTGATTGTAATATGCATACAAATTTTAATCCAGACGTGAGCAGCGATTAGCTTCTCAGGGAAAACTCTGCTCCGAGGAATTAGTTAATTATAATTTGTCACTGTAAAGCAAAGTTGTCCCTGTGCATAAATTTCAGTAATAACTCTTATTTCCGCATTAACTCCATACAGTTAATTTTTCTCCTGAATAATGTCGAATGCAACAGAAGAGTAAAACCTTTCCCAGTCATTGTATTCATGATGTACAACTTGCTCTCATAATACTAGTATATTGTACTAACCTTAAGAATTCCAAGGCTTCAGAATAAACAGTTCCTCTGTCTAGCTACAGTTTCCAGAGATAACCTCTCCATTGAGCCACTCTTGTGGCATGCGGTATTGCAGTTGGTTGTGGCACTATGCTACAGACTGGAATATCGCAGGGTTGTTTCCGAAAGAGGTCATTGGTTTTTTCATCTGACCTAATCCTTCTAGCTGCATTATGGCCCTAGGGTTGACAACTTAGCCTGTAACAGAAATGAGTACCAGGAATCTTACTGGGGGTAAAGGGCAGCTGGTCAGCGCATAAGGCTGACAATCTCACCACTATCTGTGGGCAGACTGTCTAGAAAATGTGGGAACCTCAGTGTCTCACAACCCTATGGGCTTCCTCAGCCTGTCACAGGGATAGCTTTATCTTTTTTTTATTGATCCATTCATATATGCATCAAATTACAATTTCATTGAATATGCATGCAGTCAACATTGGAAATTTATTTTTACCAATTCACTGCTGCCTGGTGTCCAGTCTCGTAACTCTTTGATACGCAGCCGCACATTATTCTGAATCTTCCAAAGTCTTAACATGTGGGCGTAACCCACAAAATAATTTACATTTCTAGTGCCCAAAGATGACTCCTCCATTAATCACTCTTATACATGACATTATGATTTCACTGAACATATACAATGTCAGCAATGGTAATTTGTTTTGGCATATGTCAAGATTGCAGTGCTGCCTGGCAGACAATCCCAAGACAATCTTGGGCCACCCCAGCAAGCTGTAGACTTTTATATGTAGCTGACACATGGGGAAAGTCCAGGGTTTAAACTTAAAGGCTTTTCCATGTGCAGGATTCATCTGATGAAGATGGTGCCGGTCGTAGGCGCGGAAGTCGTCGTACTCGTCCACTTGTTAGTCGGAAGAAATCTCGCCTGCTGTCGTCATCTAGCAGTACCACAGGTGGCCATGATGAGGATGGCTACAGCAGTAGTGAGAGTGTAGATACTCCAGCACAGCCCCCTCCAAGTAAAAAGCATCATGCTAATCACAGGAGTGGAAGTGCAGGAAGTGGTAAAGCTGGAAATGTGACTGGTAGTTCCAAGTCTGGAAGTGCAGCTGGTGGTGCCAAGACTGGAAATGGTGGTGGTTCAAAGTCTGGAAGTGGCACTGGAAATTCCAAATCAGGAGGACCTGTGGGCGCAAAGTCAGGGGGCAGTGGAAATAATGGAAGTTCCAAGTCTGTTGGTGGTGGTGGGGGTAGCAGAGGTAGACCACGTATTTCCAGCATTACAGCACCATCTCCTAACTCCACGCCATTATTGCATCAGTCAGCTACAGCGGAGGAGACAACATCATCTGGAAACACTGGGGGAGATTCTGGTGACAATATTCCCTTTAAGGTATGTTGAGAGTTGTCTTTTCTGTTTTGTATATTTTCCAAACTTGGATTCAGTTCAGTTTTTTTTTTTTGGCTGCTTTTTAGCAGTGCTGCATATTGGTGAAGATTACTCATGCTTATATTTTAACAGACAGGTTTTGTATTTGTGTGGAAAATATTAAGCACAGTGTAAAATTGTAGACGTTTTTAAGAGAACTGTGTATGTTTGTGTGAAGTCATTTCTGAAGGTTCTGTCTGCTATGCTGCACTTGGGATTACAGGTGTCTCATTTCCTACAAGTTTTCACTACAGTGAAATATATTAATCTGCAACTATTTTTCAAAGTTAATTTTTGCCACAATGAACAAATTAACGTTTGTAAGAAGATTTCAGTGAAGGCAGAGAAATGCATATACAATACTGAAGGGGGGGATATAGACATCCCAGCCATGTGCATCTCTCCTCTTCTCTGTCTGTTCACCTCTTTGTTTTAATACAGAGTCAGCTGTTTTCTTCATGCTTATATTTTATCCATAAATATCCATGTTGTTTATGCCAGCATTGCTCCCAGACAAGTGAAGGTGGTTGTAGGAGGTGTTTGTAGGCCAAAGGAAGTAAGGGAGGCAATAAGTTTGTCTGCAAGCTGCATTGTTTCCTCAGTTCCATTTGCAAAAGTAAATATTATAAACAAGTAATACTATACTTGTGGGGGCATGCGGTAGCGTAGTTGGTTGAGGCACTATGCTACGAGCCAGAAGGTCGCAGGATTGAATTCCGAAGAGGTCATTGGATTTTTTCAATTTACCAAATTCTTCCAGCCACTTTGTGGCCCTGGGGTTGACTCAGCCTCTAACAGAAATGAGTACCAGGAATCTTCCTGGGGGTAAAGGGCGGCCGGCACGTAGGACTGACAACCTTACTGCCATCTATGAGCCGATTGTCTGAAAATGTGGGAACCTCAACATCTGACAACCCTATGGGCCTCCGAGGCCTGTCACAGGGATATCTTTACTTTACTTTACTTTACTTTACTTTACTTTTATTGTTATACTTATTATCATTCTTATTTTTGGAAGAAACATATGTTAATATTGGTGGATTCTTCTGGCACTCTTAAGCAAGTCAGCAAATGTTGCATATAAAGTAAGGGGTACATAATTTTTGATTTACAAATTTTCGCCTTATGAAGAGTCTTGTGCTACATAAATTGAGGGGTACCTGTACTGAGTTTTTGGACTTTTCCCATGGTCTGTTATTTCAAGAGAACATATTCTTTTGGAAATGGGATTGGTTTTCCTCTTCAAGTGAAATATGAGGATCCTTGAACTCATTTGGGCCTGTTGGAAAGAGCTAATTTCTGTGAATGTATCTTGTGATTGATGTTGTCATCTGGCCATTTTTATAGCATGTTCTTTGTGATGTACCATTGCTGTATCTTCATTTGGCAGCATTTTGACAGTCATTCTTCAAGGTTCAATGGAAAAATGGGGTAGAAAAATGATAGGGGTGTGTATGTGTACTTGTAATTGCTTATGACCCTCCATGCTCATGATGTTTGAAACTGGGGGAGGGAGTGTAGTGTAGAAGCAGTAAGGGAGTACTGTGATACAAATTAGGAGTGGGGGTTGAATTGATGAATATCTGCTGAAGTGTGCATCAGAAGAGAAATGGATTGATGAAAATTTCTAAGTTTCCATTACTTTTGAAGTTCCCATAACCAGTGGAGACAGAAGTCTCATAGTTGTGACTTAAGATGCTCTGCTTGCAGAACTATATTACAATAAAATCATGCAGCTTATACCCCCACTAGCATAACTCTCCTAGTAACCAGGGTGCACCTACCTCCCCAGCACAGGGTAGTAGCACTCATTCATTCACCTCTTGTCTTTAATGCAACTGTTCACAATCTCTCTTTAATTTAAAATAACATTAAAATCACATCAGTTGCTGCATGTGTTGACCTTGCTTGGCCGTCTTCTGGCAGTGTTCATTTTTTGAAAACTGTCGCACTGCACTAGATCATAAGTCAATATATTTCCACGTTATTGCATTATCATTGTTCTCACTAAAATATGTTTGCCTGAGAATAAAGCTGTCTGTTCCATCTTATTTTCCTTTTGCATTTTTCATGTTTATGCCCCCTTCATATGAATGTACTCACCAGTTGGGCATATGTGAATGAGTGAGTGATACAACAGTGCAACAGGATGCTCAAATATCGTAAAATATTAGGATAGTAGTCCAGGGATAGGACATAATTGTTCCAATCTATTTAAATTATTGTAATTAGATTTGTTCTGTGGTGCTGTGAGATACCTTCAAGAATTCATCATGAGAGAGAGTTTTACAGATACTTCCAAGAATTTATCATGAGAGAGAGTTTTACAAATATAAATGTATAAAATGGAGTGGTTCTCAAACCCCATATCTCTTTGAATCACACGTTTCTGCTAAGTAAAATTCAGAGATTCACTTCCTTTGTCTCAGAAAACATGCCTTTCTCCATTATAAAAACTGTTGGTTGATTTAGTTTATGGAAACAGTGTGTATTCTGATAATCATATGAAACACAGATAAACTCTTGTGCAGAATGCCAGATTTTCTAATGTTAAAACAGGTGGTACATACAGTAACCATTGTGCTCTGAAGGGGTTAAAGGTTGGAGTATGTGAGCCCCCATCTGAAATTATATTTATTTCCTGTGAGAATTTTTTCCTTTCTGTACCTCCAACCACCCACTTCCCATTCGCAGTCACTGTGCAGCTAAATATTTTACACTGCTAACAATTGATCCTAGTTTCTTAAGGAAAACGTAGGAGAGAAATGACAAATGACACAAACTCCGTCCCAAGTGCAAACAATATTATAATTTAATAAAATGTCTTTGATCTTGCTCTCTTCTACACTACATGTTTCGGCCTCTAACGGCCATCATCAGGTGTATACTCTTACGTTACTGCCACACTGAACCCAGTCTAAAATTTAACATTTAAAAAACACATTGTTACTTTCTTCGTTATTATCAACATTACCTCATTGATATCTGTCTGGTATGTAGATTATTTTGCACACGTCAATTTTGGTTTTCCTGTAGTAGTACTATAAAATCTTTAGTTATAATTTTAAAATCCTTTAAAATTTTCTCTAAATTTTAAATGATGGCCTGATGATGGCCATTAGAGGCCAAAACATGTAGTGTAGAAGAGAGCAAGATCAAAGACATATAATATATATTGTTTGCACTTGGGACGGAGTTTGTGTCATTTGTCGTGTAGAGTGCAACAGGATGCTTAAATATAATATAGGAGAGAAATATGTTTTTACCTTCAGATAATATTACACAAAAGTCTGTCATGTAGGAAGGGCATTCTGAAAGCAATAACATGAGTGTACATGTAGCATTGTGATATTTCTAATTATTCAGATCAGCATGTTCCATTCTGATGTGTCCACTCAGAATGGAATGTACTTACCCCATCATTTGATCCGCAGTATAACTGCATGGTCCAAATCATTCATTGTTAGCAACTTTAATTTTGCCTGTATGGGTTTAATATATGTCTTAGCTGACGGAAATTGTCTGCCCTTGAGATCGTAAGGTACCACATCTGAACTACTGGAAGAATATGGTATAGTTTTAGACTTTATTCTGTAACAAAACATGACACATGAGGGATTGCACTGCTGTGATGGAGATATATTTGCTGTTTCTTTGGTAGTTTTTGCCTGAAATGTTGCTGGATTGTTTGCAAAATATTTGCCTAGGATGGTCCACTGTTGTATCTCTGATTGTTGGTACAGGGTGCTTAAGTGGTTGATAAAGATAGTTATCACTCTTCAGCACTTACCTTTTTTGTTTGTGGGGGTGGGAGGTCAGAGAACTGGAAGTATTCCTTAGTCTGTTATGTTGTTTGATAGTAAAATCTTAATCAAACATCTGCAGTTTGTTAATGGTAGTGAAACTATAAAGAAATGTCTTTCTGTGTAAGTTTTGAGGTTTTCACGGCGATGACTATGAAGAAAGTCATCTTCTGGGTTTAGGCGCCGTGTATTCTTTGTTTTGGCCCACGTTTCGGAGGAATGTCGGCCAAAACGAAGAATACACGGCGCCTAAACCCAGAAGACGACTTTCTTCAAATGTCTTTCTGGTTTGTTCACATGACGCTTCGCCTCAAATCTGAACTAATGATGTCAGGTTTTAACATCCTGGGAGTCTGACAGCAGGACACTTGTTTTGTCCCAAATTAGCTTGTAAGACTGAATTTGTACTGCATATTGAAACTGTCAGTGCATATGCAAATTCACAAACCATTGGACACTTAAGTTTTTGGGAAGACTACCAGCATTTATTTGAAAGTCTTCCTTTATGGTGATTATTCACCACAGGCTCTCTTGCCTTCAGGAAATGTATATTATGCTAACAGAAGACACTAGCTTGTGCTATGCTTTCCTTACTGTAGTTAGTTAGTTATTGGAGAGGGTGGGTTTCCCCATGCACTTAGACCTGTATTGGTCCATTGTGCTTCCCTCTATGATTTCTACCAGTCTCTATATCCTACCGGTACTGGTGCTTACCATCAGTCCCGCCCAGCCAGCGAGACCGGCTCTACTAGCTGAGAGGTATCTATAATGCTTCCCCCATCTACCAGAGGTATTAGAGACTGCTGTTGGGCGGGAAACGTCCGTAATTTGGCTCAGTGACCTCCTTTGGAGATATGAGGTTCTTTTACATGCCGTAAAGCTACGACATGGGACCCACAGCTTAAAGTCCCTCCCAGAGGACTTGTTCCCTGAATTTTTCTGCCCTTAAAAATTCGACGACCTCCGCCGGGTATTTGAACCCGCGTACTACGAGTCATGATGTGGGAACGTTACCTCTAGACTACGGAGGCCGCTTTCCTTACTGTAAGCATCATATGGAACATTTCTATAGCAGTTTTCCTCAGGTGAAGAAGAAACATGAGAGTATAACATTGTTTCTTACCAAATTCTATTTATTCTCTTGTGGGCATAATTTGTCATGTTTTGTTTTCACTGTTATCTGTCCATAATTGATGTACCAACAGTGGGTGACTATACTGCAAGGTAGTCTGCCCTGTACTCTGAAGACGCATAATTCCACACATTCTAAACATTCACATTGGAAGTACAGGAGTGGTCAGATTCATGCTGTGGCTATTTTACCATCTGGCTGGGAAGAGTCCCTTGTGCACATTGGATAGAAGATAGTGTGGAAGGGTTACAGATTGCAGAGTATAAATCACCATTAGGAAGTTATCCAGGTGTTAGACTGTTGGTTTCTGTCCTTGTTTCCTGTAATTTAGATTCTGAGTTTATATATGGTCTTTCCATTATATGCTTTTGACTTGATATGTATATTTCCATGTTTTGTAGTTCAAGACGTATATTTGCCATGTCTTTTGTACATGAAGATAAATCTTGACACCATGTAACACTCAGCAAGATTGTTATAATAGTCTTGTAGGGTAGCATGATGCATTTGTTCTCTTGTACCCTTAAATCAGTGTAATTACAATACTCTGGGTTTCATTTCTTTAACACGCAGCTGAAGCTGAAGAAAGACAAGACTCAGGTAATTGCATTTGATAAGATATTCACTTAAAGAACTATGTTTCTTTGTGATCTGTTTTGTGTTTTAAATATGGAAATCAGCCATTTCTAATACTGAACTACTGCTGCTCTTCCATTCATATCTGTACCATGCTTTCCTTTCATCCTTGCTTTATCTTTTCTGTCTTGTCCTCCCTTCTCTTTCCTGATTGCTCTCAAATTGAAAACATGTCCAGTTATAGAATAGTTGCATGGTTGGCTTCAGAGACAGATTATGGTAGACATAGCCCATTGCCTTGATGAACACGTTTACACCATTTTGGAGGCTGGATCTGTTTTCATGTTGAGGTAGCAGGAAATCACACCTACTCTCCTGGGGCTGAAGCAAAACAGGAGGAGGTTCTGTTCACTGGAATTTGCTACAGTGTCAGTGGGAGGTACTTTTAAGAAGTTAATTGCAGAACATCGCTTTGTCACAAGGTATAAAGGAACAGAAGGTCAGGTAGTAAGAAATGGTTACCAGAAAAAAATGTGAAGCAAAATTTACTGAGTCAAGATGACTGCATATTTTGAAATCAGATTGTGACCTGCAGATAAAGTGATTGAAACTAATGTGGTTAAGTGACTGGTATCCATACTGGTGAGAGGTCTGTGCTGCTTCACCTTACGAATTATTCCAAGCAGATTATGTTGACCAGTGCTTCATATTTTGTGTGTTCTGCATTAAGTTCAGTGCGTGTGGTGCTGGGTATGATTTAATCTTGCAGAATTTTTTAAATATATTTTGATCTTGAACCTCTCTACAAACCCTTGTATAATGTTACATGATTTCTGCCTGTCATCAGGAATCTCCCAGTTTCTCCTTTGTGCGATCTGCTGTGACAGTGAATGTTGCTGATGCACTGTTTTGTAGAGAGGAACAAATTTCTTGCCCAAGTTGTTATATCATTTAAGCAGTTTCCAATCCACTGTATTTCGAGACTTAACAGTGAAGCTGTGTTCCATTTATAGGGAAGTGTTAATTGACATAAACGAAGGATTTGTGGAGGAACGATCCTTATGAGGTTACTGAACTTACGAGAGACTCCAAACTTGAATGTGTTTTGTGCTGTGTCCATGCATAAAGTTTTATGGCCTTTTTGCCCTGATGAACGTACAGTGACTGGTATAGTATACCAAGACATGTTTGTAGGAATTCCTCATGCCTCTTTTGGAAGAAGAAGAAGGCCCAGTGTTACACTGTTATAGTCACATGGAGTACCTGCACTTCCACAAGGAAGTAAGGCAATTTGTAAATTACAGGTTTCCAGAGAAGTCGGTTGGTGGGGCTAGGCTTGTCACTTATCCACTTTGTTTGCCTGTCCTTGCTGCCCATGATTTTACCTTTGGAGGGTTCATAAAGAATGCTTTGTATGTGCCACCCACCATTGGCTACCACTTTGCCAGAACTTCCATAATGCATCTGTTTAATGAGGCATTTGGCAGACATAGTTTTAGGCAGCTGTTTTAATTCAGTTGCTGCCTCAGCTGTCATTCTGGGGGAGAAATAACTCTTTGGAACTAGAATACAAAGGGGTACATTCTTGTGGGTTTTAATGTCAGAAAGTGCCCTCAGATGTTTTGGAGGAACATATTGCCCCTGTCTGCAGGGTTGAACAGTAAGCCAAACAAGACACCAGCAGAAGCAACAGCAAGCAAAGCTGGTTTCTTGCTTGTTGCACTCTTCACCCTTGAAGATGGAGCTGATATGTTCTCCAGAAATATCAGGCTGTGTCCAAACTACATGGCATTACAGTGCCTGCTGTGAGAACCTCAGATCCAACAGTTTTGTTATATACTATTTTTCTGGCTTAATTTATGTCATTAGTATTGTATTGTATTGTATTGTATTGGAGAGGTTGGGTTTCCCTATGCACTAAGACCAACTGTTGGTCCGTTGTGTGTCCCCCTGTGATATTCTACCAGTCTCTATTCCCTACTGGTAGTGGTGCGTACCATCAGTCCTGACTTCAGCCAGCGAGTTCGGCCTCTACTGGCTCAGCGGTATCTCGATGCTTCCCCCATCTACCAGAGGCGTTAGAGACTACTGTTGGGTGGGAAATGTTCTGAATTTGGCTCAGTAGTCCCCTTGGGACATGAGGTTCTTTTACATGCCCTAAAGCTACGACATGGGACCCACGGCTTAAAGTCCCTGAATTTTTCCGCCCTTAAAAATTCCACGACCTCCGCTGGGTTTGAACCTGCGTACCTTGAGTCACGAGGTGGTAACGTTACCCCTAGAGTACGGAGGCCGCTATGTCATTAGTATATATAGCGTTGCTTGGTAGGATGATAGATGAATTGAAAAGAATTTGGAATTAAGCTGTTGTCACCTAATTGGGGTACTGTCACAGAGTTTCATATGAGGAATTGAGGAAAACCACATAAAATAACTCAATGGAGCTTATTTATTTCATTCTGGTCTCACACTAATATTATGAAAAAGTTAATTAGTTCCGTTCAGTGTGAAAACAACACAGTGGGCCACAAACACATACAGGACAACATTAAAGAACCCTCTTCTCGAGAATGACAAGTGGCACACATTCGGCCCCCATCAAAAAGAAATAATAAGAGGGACGACACAAACCATCTTGGTTTACAAACTCCAATAGAATCCTAACTAACCAAATATAAATATTTTAAAGTATTGGAACAGCCGCTGTAGTTGTAAAGACTTAAACAAAATTTACAGCCAGTTGTATATTATTTATATTGTATGTATGTACAAGGTGGTTCAAATATGAGCGGGACTGATTTGTGTGTAAACAAGCCGCACTGCGCAGCAGCTGTGCGACCTTGAGAGAGTGAAGCCACAACCTCCACCCTCCCTCCTGTTCGGGTCAGAACCTGTTCAGTCGTGTCTGGGAATTGCTAGAGTGATGAGCGAACAGGAGGTACCACGGAGCATGGAACAACGCATTGTGATCAAATACCTTGGAGAAAACGTCCCGTCCGCTGAAATTCACCACAGACTCCAACGACAGTATGGGAAGAGTGTCTCTCACAGACCCGTGTGTTTTGAGTGGTGTAAGTACTTCAGAGAGGGCAGAGAGTGCGTGGAGAATGAACTGCATGATTGTCAGCTGCGAACATCCATCACTGAACCAAACATTGAACGTGCAGACGCGCTTATTCATGAGAATAGCCACATCACTATCAAGGAACTTGGAGGAATGCTGTCCATCAGTATTTGTAGTGTAGAAGACATCGTGAAATACCACCTGCACTATTGCAAGGTGAATGCACGGTGGGTACCACACACTTTGATGGGCTTGAAAAAATGGTGTGCATGGAAGGTGCCAGTCATCTCCTACAGCAGTTTGAAGATGATGGTGATGCATTTGTGAAGTCTATAGTGACCACCGATGAAACTTTGGTGCACTACTTCATTCCCGAGTCCCAGCAGTCATCATGCGAGTGGCGGCATACCAGTTGTCCGAAACCCAAGAGAGCGTGGAGGAGCCGTTCGGCAGGAAAAGTGAGAGCAATGTTCTTCTGGGAATGGCAGGGGGTTATCCATGTAGACTTTCTGACAGATGCCAGAACAGTCAATGCAGCTTATTACTCAGACCTCCTGGCAACAGACGTGAAGGAAAAGATCCGATCCAAGTGGAAGACAGATGGAAAGTGGGTAGCCTTTCTTCAAGACAATGCACGCTCCCATACGGCCAAAACAGCAATGGAACCCCTCCAGAAATTGAAATGGAACCTTCTGACACATCCACCGTACAGTCCCAATATGGCCCCAAGTGATTTCTACCTGTTCCGAAGGCTCAAATCAAACTTGCAAGGCATGTGGTTTGTGGACGACACCGTCATCCAGACTGTTTGGGAGTGGATACGCTGCCAACCACAAGCCTTTTTTGAAAAGGGCATCAGGATGCTTCCAGAACGTTTGAAAAAATGTGTTGACTCCGGAGGGGGTTACGTTGAAGACTGACATGTGCAAGTAAGTGTTTGGCAATTATGTTTTTATAAAAAAATCAGTCCTCGTCGTATTTTAGCTTTTAGAACGTGTGCTGTAATAGTGGCTTCTAACTGTATTGATGTAAAGGTGTCCCTCTGAAGATGGTTTCTGAGACCAAAACATGTAAAGACATGAATAATTGAAATCAGAAAATCTTAACTAGTCACATTGAACGGAACTATTTAATTTTTTCGATGAAGCTAGCTTGCCTCAGCCAAGAGTTGAGCCAAGCCCATCTGAATGTGAGTAGGATGTCACCACTTTGCCAGCTTACTTGGTGTTTCATTTGGTGGAAACAGCAGAATTTGTGTTATGTTCCTAGAAGTAAATGTAAAATTATCTCTTTAAGTATTTGCTTCAAGTAGTGCAAATTTATCACAGTACTGCCTATTCTTCTAATTTATATACTTAGCTATATAGAGAATAGACTTAACTTTTCATTCATGTAATTTCCTGAACCAGGTTCTGCTTCCAACCTTCTCTTCATAACATTTCCCACTTTTTGAGCACTGAATACTGTACAAAATTATGTATATGAAAATTAATTAATACATGGTGAGTTCTTTGACAATAATTTTTTGAAATGTGGTATTTTAGAAGAGTGTACCAGTCTTTTTATGGGGAGAGGTTAAACTGATTGATTAGTTCCAGTTATCTAGTAAACTCTGTAACTTAAGTCAGTAGAACTGTTTATTTTGTGTATTTATTAACTTTATTGAACATGTCATGTAGATGGTGTTTCTGTTTCTGTTGGTTGCATTCGTATTTGATCGACATTAATGCTTATTCTTCCAGAGTGGTGAGTTTGTTGTCATGAAAAGTGACTTAGGAGAAGAGTACCCACCCATCTGGCGTATTGATGGAAAGACTCTTCTTCAGAAGTATGAACCGTTTGACCAAAACGGAAAGACTCTCTACCGTAACATTTCCACTGTAAGTACCATCTTTTACTCCACTTCAGCACATTTCTATTGCAGTTTTAGCTTAATACGTTCTTATACACATCTCAAAATTTCTCATAATTACTGAGTTTTCAGACTTTGTACATTGTTTGGTATTCTAGAAAAAAAAACACAGTGTTTCGGAAACTGGATCTGTTTCCATACTAAGGTGATTGATTGAGTGAGCAAGTGTCTTCCCTCCTCCCACCTGAGGATCGAAACATATCCAGTTTCTGAAACATTGTGTCTTCTGGTTTCTAGAATACGAAACAATGTACAAAGTCTGAAAACTCAGTAATTCTGAGTACTATACACCATCGGCAGAACCCTTTATCAAAATTTACTTCTTTTAGTTCTGGATAAAGATGGGGACCAACTAGTCTCACCTCAACAGAGGCACACAGTAAGGTCTTGTGCTTTCCACATGATGCTCTTCTGTAACAGTATGTTTGTGGTTGTGTGTAACCTCTGTAGTGGTTTAATTTTCACTCGCAGCATATTGAGATGTTCACATTAAAAAATGACATAGGAAACTGCATTCAGCATTTGCATAACAGTTTGAAAGAATCATAACTAGCTGTCTTCTTGGATATGACACCATGTATTTTTGGTAGCTGGGTACCAGTGTTTCTGAGGAACAGGTTGCCTCCATCTTGGGTAAGAAGCGTGTTAAAAAATGATCTTAGTAAATGGAATGGGGACTGGGACTAGGAGGACTCAGGGCAAACCAGTATGTGATGGAGGTAAGAAACCAAGAAGTAACAGTTATGTTGAGGGTGGATGAAGGCCAGGAAAGGAAAGCATAGGAGGAAAGAAAGATGGTGGGTAAAGAGAATGGGTGAAGGTAAAGGTAAAGGTAATGTCACTGTGCTTAAATAATTAAGCACTCTGCCAGGAAAATATATGGGGGAGTGGCTGTATAGATCCACAAATTCTTGGCATCAGCACTAGTCAGAGGTGAGTGGTCAGCTTCATATCTGGTAGAGAGTCCAAGGTACTGTTGGACAGGGGTGGCCCCCAGAATTTGTATGGATGACACGGAGAGGAGAAAAATCTTGCCTCTACCAGGACTTAGACTCTGAACCTTCGGCCATCCAGCCTGTAGTCAGTCACTATACAGGCTGCGCTATCCCAACTCTAAAGGAGAATAGGTAGGAATAGAACTGAAGATTCATTGAAAAAATTGAGTAAAATAAAAATTATGAGGTCGTTTGATTTTTTTCAGTTGACCTAATCCTTTCAGCCGCACTAGGCCCTGGGGTTTACTCAGCCTCGTAACAGAAATGAGTACCAGGAATTAATTAAATAATTTTCCTGGGGAGTAAAGCGTGGCTGGCGCGTAAGGCTGACAACCTTACCGCCATCTTTGAGCTGATTGTCTAGATAATGTGGGACCCTCAACATCTCACAACCCTATGACCCTATGGGCCTTCATGGCCTGGTACAGGGATAGCTTTACTTTTTTTTATGGTGAAGTGAATAAGATGAAAGGAATTAAGAAAAGGAAGGGCTCTAGGATGGAATTGAAACAGGGAAGTGCTCTAGGGTGGAGTCAGGAGGAAAATCAGTGAGGAATCACTGACCCTCAAAATGGCCATCAGTATCTAAGGGAGGAGTAATGAAAAATTAGAACAGAAATGAGAGTTGGAAATAAAAATATGGGCAGGGCTGAAGGGTGAAACAGACTAAGGAACTAGTGGTCCTACAGAGGCACAGAACAAGAGGGGAAATGGAAACAGAAAACTGGAAACCAAAGAAGTGTTGGGGGAACTAAAGCAGAAGTAAGGTTACAGGTTGGCAAAAGAAGGGATTAAAGAGAAAGAAGAGAGAAGACTAAGAAGCAAGGAAATGGGGAAGGCATGGGGAGGAAGGAGAAGCAGGTCCCGAAAAGGGCTATATAATAGGTCACTCAGAAAATTAAAATCTTGGGTTACCTGTCAAGAGATGCCTTCTACTTAATATTAATATTCAGTATTGTGAGAATATAATACCTGATGCATAACTTGTAGTTTAGACTGACAGGAAGAGGAAAAGAATGGTCACTGGATTTCTTGCAAGTAAGACACTTTGTCAGATTGTGATGAAACGTTTATCAGACTGATTGTGTTTTGTACATATTTCAACATGGATATTTATTATGGCCCTGAAATCACTTTAATGCAAGTGGCATGTGGGAGGCATATTGCCATAGTGCGAAATCCACTTGTCCATGTCAAATTTCAGTGAATGCACTGATGTAAAATCTGAAACTTAAAAGCAAAATTGATACTCGGTGACTGTTCTGGTGGAGCAGAGTTGTAATAGATATTTCCTGTATTTTAAGAATTTTGTGGAGCTTGAGTAGCATACTTGGTGTAGCGACTGGCTGTGGGCTGGATGACCGAGGGGTTGGAGTTTGAGTCCTGGTAGGGTCAAGAATTTTTTCTTCTCCACAGTGTCCAGACTGGCTTTGGGCCCACGCAGTGTCTTGTCCAGTGGGTACCCTGGGCCCTTGCCCCGGGGTTAAAGCGGCCAGGGTGTGAAGCTGACCATTCACCTCCAACTAGAGCTGAGGTTAAGAAAACAGTGATCTATACATCCACTCCCCTATAGATCTTTGTGGCATAGCGCTTAATTAGTTAAGCACAGGGATAACTTTACCTTTAAGTTATCACCATTGTTTTGACATTCACCCCATTCTGGTCTGTTGGAGGCCTTGGTATTTTGTTTTTGGATCATACTGGAATGCCAAAGCGTATTATTATTATTATTATTATTATTATTATTATTATTACTGGGTTCTTCAACCACTTGCGGTGAAAGTTCTGTGGAAAATTATTTTCTTATTTTTGATATTGGGCAAATGAAACACTCACTGCAACCACACACCCAGACTGGATTGCAGAGAATGAGAAGAAAATGCCAAACCTTATAGCCACAGGATCAGACGTGTCAGCACACTGTTGGTGCCATTTCTTTGCAAAGAAGCATCGGTCCTGTTATTTACCAGGCCTCATATGAATAAAATTAAATGGCAAAGAGGTTTGGTCAGTTGAGATTGTGATCTTCAAGCAGAGGAATATACTGCATCCATCTTCAGGGTTGGAGTAATTATGGTGAGGATGTGGTTAGGTTATATATGCAGGTTGCCAAGGAAGTGGTTGTTAAGATCCATGGGAAGTGGAGAGTTTAGTGATTTATTGGTTTTATTAACACCCTCTTTTATTTATTTGTACACAGATATTGAACAATAAAATATATATTGTGTGCATATTCTGTATGACTTGTACATGTGTCATATAAGCGGGAGTGGAGCAGTTACAGTGGTAGGGATAGGTGCTGTTTATCTTGTGGATAAGTTTTGAGCAAATAGAATTTTTGTCTGACAGGTGAACTGAGCTTAGATATGCATGGACATGCGCGCACCCACACACACACACACACACACACACTCGTGCGCACACAGTACTTTTTTTAGCAGAATAGGTCTCCAATGAGTACAGTATGACATATTGTCGCGTGTTGCCTATGCAGCGCAACAGATAGCTTCACGTGGGTCTCAGATTTGGCAAACACGTTTATTAGCCACACTCCCTTACAGTACAATTATTATCCACGTATAACGCAGCCAGTATCACAATCTTCACTCTTCAGTCTTCAACTGCCGCCACTATATTTCAACTCTGGCGTTCACACGAGTCTCTCTCTCTCTTCAAACTCTGGTCTTCTAACTCTGGAATATCTGGTACGTTCAGTCCCCTTATATAGGCGTTGTTCGGACAGGATACCAAACACCATTTCCTTCAGTTCAGTTTTCCCGTTGTCATGCAATGCTTCTAACATTTCATTGTAACTGTGGAGACTCACTGTTAGAATTATGATATTGCGTTGCTTCCGTTATCTAAGAATGGATGCATTCCGATTGTAGCATTGTGGCGGGAAAGTGGATTGTTGCTTAGGAAGTGCACATTACAATATGTTTCATTTTGGGGAATAAAATAGTAATTTCTAGGTCATTTTTAGTCATTTGGGGACGTAACACCGAATTATAATGTTGTTCCTGTGGGAAATAGTGATTCACATTACAAAATTTTGCTTTACAAACTCTAGGAATGTGACTTTGTAAGAGTGGGGACTATGTATATATAAAGACATAAACATGGCAGCTTGCACATGGATATGATGTACAGATTAGAGGATAACAGCAAGAGTGTCGAATAAGTAGTCACAAACAGTTCAGTGGTTGTATTGGTGTGATTTTTGCTGCAGGGTTGGAAACTCTGTGCTTTGTTAAATATTCTTTATTTCAAAACCTATACACACAGCATAAAAGAAGTGGCACAGATTAGGTGTGATAGAATGATTGAGGATGATGGCAGTGATCTGGAAGTAATTGTTATGGCCTGTCTAAGTTACTGTTGGGACATTGACATTTTCTTGGAGGTACCGTGGGTAAATGAACTTTCTAAGGTATTGGGTCATGTTCCGGATTTGAACTGGATCTCCTCTGAATGTGAGATACACTGTTCAGGCAGCTGAGGGACTGTGAGGAAGGGAGGCATGCACACCATATGGACTGCAGTCTTGTGGGATGAGACATAGTCTGGTAGATGGTTATGAGTGATTAGAGGATCATTGTGCCTCCATCTTCAGGCTGTAACACTGGCAAACAGTAGCATTTGTGACTAATGGTAAAATAGTTGTCCTGACAGCTTTAAGATATTCTGTTGTCCTTGTATGTCACTATAACCTTACAGTATCAGAATGTTTAAATGCTGCCTTACTGTTGTTTCCTACCATCTGAGCAGTGTTTGTTGTATGCCAGCTAGAAAGTTGAGATTCTCAGCTCTAAATTGTATTTTGATCCCCTTTTACAGCAGCTTGCAGATCTTGAAAAGTGGAGCTTTATGCAAAAAGTCTGTGTTTATCCTCCTGTAACATTCCACAATCTAGCCAGTAGACCATGGAATGGATAAGGCCTACTTAGAATTATATCATTGAATTCTCTGATATTAGATTTGTGCAAGTTTAGAAACCCAGCTGGTTCAGTTCAGTCTCCTGTTTACCTTACATTTTGTTTAAAAGGTCATGCAGTTTATGCACATAGTCGTACAGTTTGTGTAGTTAAAAAGCCCAGTAGTACTTAAATATCCTATATACAGAAGGTCTCAAATAACATGTATTCACACTTCAGTGTACAAAATATATGGTTAAATAATTTATTGGTAATCCAGATTTGATACACACAGAAAGGGGTGGCTGCATCAGATGTTGAACTGGAATAAGTATTCAAAGTTCCAACCAAGAGTTTTTAGACATTTCTGAGTTGAGAAGACTAGAACATGAGCAGCCATGGTCAAGGTGTCCACTGGGATAGCGGCACATGATGTTTCAATTTCTTCCTGTAATGTCTCCAGTGTTGATGGTTCTTTATGATATACCAAATCCTCCAGGGCCCCCCAAAAGTAAAAGTCAATGAGGTTAAATCAGGTGAGTGAGGGATACTCAGCACTACATCTTCATCCTATCCATTGATCTAGTAGGGCTTAAGCGCGGTAACTTCTGACATCTCAGTGGTAGTGTGGTGGTGCGCCATCTTGTTGAAAGTGAAATGGCTCATTCTGATGGTGCTGATGAATGGAAGGTAAAATGAATGTCCGAAGCATATTGAGGTACATATAGCCAGTAAATATTCCTTCAGAACAAAATGGTCCAATTAAGCCCCTCTATGACAGTCTGTTCCAGACAGTGATCCTGGAAAATTGATGCCTTGTCCACATGAAAGCCCCAGTTTTCTTGAGCCCAGTACACACAGTTATGACAATTTACTGTACCATTCAGCTTAAATGTTGCCTCATCAGACCAAACAGTTTTGCTCATGAACTCATCCTTGTGTACTTTGTGTTGAAACCACATGCAAAACTGCATTCTTTGATCAGGATCATCTTCATTCATGGCATATGGGATGTAAACTTTCCATTTGGCACATTTTTAGAATGTGTTGTACACTTGATGTGCTAATTCCTATCTCATGTGAACATTTATGTGATGATTGTATAAACTGTTCCAACACCGTAACAGAAGAGGCAGGACCCATTTGTTGTGTAAGGCATGTATTTGTCACAAATACATGCAATTGTTGATTGTGCTGGAGATCCTGTTGCAAATTCACACTGCCACTGTTTTCTACTTCACACATGTTTTCAAATTTCCAATACCACTTCAAAATTATCTTGCATTGCTAAAACGATGACTGTTCCACTGCCATTTACTATGACTGTCCTGCCATTTGGCAAGGTGGCTCCTTCATTCATTTGTCTATCACCATCTTTTGAGAGAATAATACACTACACACAACACATTATATTTCAGTCAGACTTTGAAAATATCCATAGATAACTTCAGTTAAAGTATATATACACTTTTTTTCTGGCTCCGCTGTAGTTTAAAATATGACTCTTCGTGAGGAAATTTGGGAAGTTTTGATTTGGAAATACTGCCCAGGTTAAATTCATACTAGAAGAAACTGAAGTGAATGCCAATAATAATATGAGATGTCCACTCCTGACTGTAGCTCCTTTCATGTGCTACTTTTTAGTATAACATGTTCTTTTTGAACCACAAGAGCAAAGAGCTAGAAAGAAATTCACATGTTGGAATGAAATTGTAGTTTTTATGAAAATAGTCAGTGTGAGAGAGCTCCTTGTGGGGATCTGCATGTCTGATTGTAATATTCATTGTTTCTTGCTGTATTTTCAGTCACCACGGGCGCACAAGCAACAGGGGTTATCAAGCCCTGCCCGTGATGCTGAGAAAAGGGTATGCATGGCCTTACCATTTTGTTTACCCATACAATTATTGACACATGCTGTGGAATCTGTTCATAGTGAACACAGTTATACCAATGTAGATGAAGTTTGGCATAGACAGTAAGTCACAGTTTCTTGGTTGTGAAAGTAAATTGATGGTGTCATATTCCTTCATGTCCAATATTTGTTTGTATCAAGTTCTAACTTTCATGCTGGGAGCATACAAATGAGTTTTCCCTGAGGTGTATGTGGCATCTATCTGGTATCTCTGTTTCATTACAGCTCTGTCAATTCTTAATGGTTATTATGTGTAGTTTCTTAATTAATTGTGTATTGTGATGTTTAAAGGCTAAATGAAACCATGAAGATGGAGGCAGCATGTTCCTCCAAAATACTGATAATCACTTACCTTCCATTTTTTAATAATCCGGAAGGCTACAGTATGAATCTTTACCATCTTGAAAACCTCATAATAAATTTCTGTTAGAATTGACAGCATGTAAAAACATAAATATTGTTTATGAAAAGCCTTAAGAGCAAGAAGAATAGTATTTTCTGTGTAATCATTGTTTCAAGCTGTATGTGATGTTTCATTCCCTTTAGGATTCCCATGCTACAAGAAAGTCTGGAGCACTCATCTTTTGATGTATATTTTGCTTTCTGTTCAAGATGTCTGAACAAAAATGTTACGCTTTGTTGGTTTTGGGGTTCTGACAGGTGTGGCTATGAAGATTACCGTCTTGTGGGGTGTGACACTGTGTAGTCCAGAAGAAATTCGCTGTTTGCGAGTAATTTACTACTTCCATCTTCAAGGTTAAAGGGTAAGCTTAAGCTAAACAAGTAACCAGAAAGAATCAGGCAGCTCCTTGCCACCTGCTTCATGCAGGTTACTTGCTTGGCCAACTCCTCAGCCCTAAAGTTGGAGGTATTACAATCATTCCTGTGAAATGTTGAACTTATACCGGACTACACGGCGTCACATTGTCATACTAAAATTTGATTGCTGGGTGCACTTTTTGGTTCTTCTGTGTTGATAGAAATTGTGTGTAAACCGTTGCAGTTCTTTTTTATTTCATGAAATGTTCCATGCCTTTACATTTATCCTTATTATATGTAACTTCATGAGTTTTCTAAACTTTTTGCTTCTAATCCTCAGTCAGAAATCTTTTTGGTCCGAGTGTGAACATTCTGAGCTGTATTATAATGTAGGACATATCCTTGCCCAGTGTCACTGTAATCAGATTCTGCCATATGACAGTCTGCAAAATGAGATTATAATATTGCTGTCCTGCAAAGCCCTTTGCTTTTGATCATCACCTGCAAATTGAAAAAAGAAGTAATGCCTTATTACATCATGTTTACCTAAACATGTTCTTTTTTTCTGACTTCAAGAGAGTACATTTTCCAATGTGGCTTTGGGTTCTCCAATGCTTTGGTGTCCTCTTGGTTTGTAATTTAGTATACTGTGAAGTCATTCTGTTTAGAATGAGTAGAAAGTAGTTTATTTTGATGATGGGTGCCCACCGATTGGGATTGGCTCTTTCAAATGGACCCAGCTGTGTAGTTACTGCTTTTACCTAAGGTCAGGAGCAGATGCAGCTCCTGGAATGTTTTGTTGCGGTTTTTAGAATATCAGATAGTGGACACAGTCCAGGAAGCTAGTAATGCTATTAAGTTGCTTGATCACCCCAGATAACTCTATAGCCCAAATAAATAGAAGGAAATCATATGTAGGATACAGAGTCAAGGAATGGCAGAGCTTTATATAAATTTGTTACCAGTACTTAGAATTAAACTGAGTTTTTTCTCATTTATGGTCTTCCATCTCACGTTGCCTTTCAGCTACAACAGATATGTATTAGATATTGAATTAGAATTTAAATTGTTGCGTCAGTGTTTCATGGGTTGTTGTGGTATATTTGTGCCTTCTGTGTTCAAAGCCCAAAAGAAACACATATTTTGAAAATGACTTTCCATCTTCAGGTGGAAGATAGTGGCAATATGTTCCTCCAAAAGGATGGTAGACATCTGCTGGTTGTCATGATGTCGTAACACAGAAGACCACAAAAATATTATGAGGTTAAACAACAAAAAATGATCTGGTCCTAAAAGTGATGCCTTTCACCAGTTCCTCTTTATTCTTTTGCATGCAGACATTTCCATTGACATGAGTTGGCTGTAACTGGCCACACATGTTCCCACTGTATTGAACATGAGGCCCTTCTCTATATATCTGAACTTTGACTCTTGATGTCTCCTGTTCAAACTGTACTAGTGGAGAAGCCTGTTGCAATTCACTGTGGAATCATATTGTCACGTGTATGGGGGTACGTGTAATGAAATGACGGGTTCTAGTTCTGATGATTGGATTTATTAACAGCTTGGTTACACTCTTTTGATTACACTCACATACAGCGCTATCGCCGATTTTCATACACCCCATAATCCACTGTTGGATGCACCATCGCACACACTAAGTCTTCTACATCACACTTTACATCCTCACAGGTGACCTTCTGTATTCCTGGTTCCACTTTGCTTGCTTCTGCCAGTCTCAGTTACTCTCAACTGCTTCAGCACTGACTAATACCCTCGATATATAGCATCCGCACGCTGTGGCTCAACAGTTCCTACATAGAGCAAATACACCACAGTATTTACTATAGGATTCTGACGATGGTGTATAACACACTGATATGTTGGGATTTTGGACTTTATCCATCGTCCTGGTTTTTAAGATAACAAATAAAAACACGACGTTTCGGAAACTGGATCTGTTTCCGTCCTCAGGTGAAGGAAAACACCTATTCAGTTGGGTCCCTTAGAAAGATCTAGCCTCAATCACTGGGAACACTGAATTTGAAAACTGTGGGAAATCTTAACACATTGTGGACCGGTTGTTTAAATATTTAAATCACCCTGGGGACCGGGGTTTTTAAGCCTAGCACCCTAACTTGTTCACTGTTCACTTTAAAAATTAATATAAAATCTCCTAATTAATTTTATGGACTAAAATTTTTGGAGAACACCTACCAGAGCTCCTAGAAGTGCTTGCACATGTGATATCTCTGGAAACATTCCCTTTTGTGAAGAGGCATCACGCAGAAGTTGCAGATGTACACAGTCCTACTCTTCTTCTTGTGGACTGCGCACACACGGCACTGCCTAGAAGGGTACTTCTTCTTGCAATGTTCACTCTTCACAATTCTCACAAGGGTATGTTTCCGCATATCACCCGAGAGTCGTCCAGGGGGTCCACATGAGGCCTCCATTGTGTGCGAACAGATGGCCCCGGCTGCACTACGTCTGTGTCTGACGCAGGTACTGCCGCCACCGTGAGGTCAGTAGCCCAAGCTTTTGCCAAGTTCAACAGAAATGCTTTGTATTTCAAAGTAGAATTTCTGTTCACCTTTTTGAAAATCGAAAATGAATTGAAAAGTGCACAGTTTATAAGCAACAGTGCAACTTTCTTCGTCCATTTTACTGTTTTCCTAGGAGAGGAATAATAGGCCAAGTACTGGTCGGCCCTGTCAACTCCCTTCATTAACATATTATACTCGGAAATACAAAGAGGCTTCTTCACTTGCCTGTGGTGTCTCTGAACATCAACCATACTCGAATTGTGAATAGTGGAAACCATATTCACAACACGAGTATCCCTTCAGGACTGAAGAAGAATGTCCCCCTTCCTCCTGAATGTGGTGTCACCACGTTTCAGGCATTTACATTCTTCTTTCAGATCTGAAGGAAGGTCTCTGTTCACCCTAATTGTACCACAAATACGTACATTCCTTGAAAGTAGGTATTCTGCAGTTGCCACACTGTTGTAATAATTATCTTGATAAACGTGATAGTTTCTTGCAATTTCTTGCCTTCAGCAGAATAAATTTCTAAAAATCCTATATAGCCTGAAGTGCTTTCCGTGACTACACAAACAAGTAGGCCATACTTTCTGAGTTTCCCAGGATTATACATTTGAATACGAAGCCTTCCCCTCCAAGGAATCACAGAGTTGTCCAAAGACAGTTGTTGCTCTGGCTTATAAACTGTCTGAAATTTCTCAACCAAAATGTCTAATAAGGGCTGAATTTTGAAAAGCCTGCCCGTTGGTTGTGGTTGCAGTTCATTATTATTGAAATGCAAACACCACCATATCTGTTCAAATTTCTTGTGACTCATGAGTTTGCCGAAAATGGGAATTTCTGAAAATGGGTCACTTGACCAATAATCCTTCAAAGTATCTCTCTTTGTAAGCCCCATTAGAATAATCATAGCCCAAAATTTTTTCATTTCTGTTGAAGTGACATCCACCCACTTCAACACCTTATAGATGCGGTCGTACGCCTCACGGTGTTGGAGATAGTATCTATTAGTCTCCTGACATAACAGATCAAAGAAACTATCTCCAAAAAACAGTGACGCAACTTCAGACACATCCGTTGGGTCCGATGGCATCTGCTTCACCCCCGGATCACCAGTAAACCTACCCAAAGTGGGGGTTTTGTCCGCTTTACCCCATGTGGCTGTCCCGGTACTCGCACTTTCACTGGACACAATATTTTGGGGGGCCCTGTGGCCCCTGTCACTGCCACTTTCATTGAGGCTGGCCTCGCTATCAGAAGACGAAGCAGTTGGCAAATCTGATAGCTCATCGGAGAACAAATCTAATATTTCTTGTTCTCCAAGAGAACGCTTCCCTTGCAACTGCTTTCGCCTCTGATCCATGTTGCACTGCTAAATTCCTGGTTCATAGGTGGAAGCTTGGACTCGAACAAAGGATTTTTCTTTAGGGTGTGACAGGAAATGAGCGTGATCATGTTACTGGCTAAGCTAGCAAACATTCCCGAGGTCAACTACGCAGTAGTTATGATGCAACGTGGCCACACAGCGAGATATAGTCGGTTGCAACATAACGCGTCAGAAAAGGGCCAATTGGCCCGCCCAGTCCGCAACGCTATAGAAACGTAGAGGGCCAATTGGCCCCTCCGGTCCTGAATGTGTTAAATGGACGAACTTCAGCACTGAGGCTATTGATTTTGGATTGTTGAAAGTGGGAAGACCTGCAATTGTATAATGTTAATAGCAGTGCTGCAAAATGAATGCATGGTTCTGAGTTGATTTCTGTGATATACTGCAAAGCTATAATTTGGTGATTTGGTTTTGAAAATTGAGGCCCTCATGGTGGTGACTATGGAGATTACTGTCTTCTGGGATGTCATGCTGTACAATCCTGTTGATGATTATGATTGTTTGATGTGTTGCCTCTGTCTTCAGCTGTGAAGATTTGAGGCAGTGCATTATTCCCACATCTCAGTAATGGTCAAGCAGACTGCACGATGTAATGTTACAGAAGATGTTAACTTTCTTGGTGATTTGGTTATCAGATACGTGTGTGAATGTATAGCCCAAACCACTGTGAAGTCAATTTTTGGGAGACATTTTGAATATCACCTTTAGTTTCATTGAGTCTGCATGTAATAAAGTGAAATGGATTTGGTTGAAACTTGGTTAAGTATTCCTTTGGAAGAAAAATTTGTGAAGTAAAAGTAGTAGGAATCTGCAAAATGCACAGTTGAGGAAAACCTTCCAGCCCAGTTAAATAGACATCAGAACTTCCCAAATTATTTTTTCTTATACAGTATTTACATTGACATTTATAGAAAATCACTGGATGTCTACCTACTAAGTGTATGTAATCACAAGAATTTAAACATTGAAAATGAAACTTGAGTTAGCAGGCGAAGAAATAAAGCCACTCTAGGGGACTGAACAGTAATAATTACCTTAAACCTTGTGATTCTGTTATGTTGGGTTTTTGGACTTTATCCATCGTCCTGGTTTTTAAGATAACGAATAAAAACACGACGTTTCGGAAACTGGATCTGTTTCCGTCCTCAGGTGAAGGAAAACACCTATTCAGTTGGGTCCGTTAGAAAGAGCTAGCCTCAATCACTCCAGCTAGCTCCAACTGAATAGGTGTTTTCCTTCACCTGAGGACGGAAACAGATCCAGTTTCCGAAACGTCGTGTTTTTATTTGTTATCTTAAAAACCAGGACGATGGATAAAGTCCAAAAACCCAACATATCAGTGTGTGTAATACACCATCGTCAGAATCCTATAGTAACTACTTGTGATTCTGTGTTCCTGTACTTAATTATTGTGCACTGATAATATTATGGTTTGTTTTGAATGTTTCCAGAAAACATTTACATAGTGATAGATTATTATTCAGTAAAGGTTTAACTGTCTGTCCAAGGATTGTAAATGGAGTTTCCCCTCCAAAAGGAAAACTAACTATACCTCTCTCAAATGAAATTGAAACAACAGAGGGAATTTATCATGTAAAAGCCTGTTCTTTCTTCTAAACATTGGAATGTTACACTTGATGCTATCTGTTTACAGAATACTTTACTGATAGATTAATGTGAGTCAGTCTCTTTGGTTGTGGCAGTTTTAATGCAAGTACCTTGAAGTGATCTAATCAGTGTGTGGCCTGCAAAGTGTTTGTGGGTTTAATTACACTACAAGTTAGCAGATGTCTGCCAAGGACATAAGTTATCAAATTTCAGGGTCAGCTGGTTAGTACTGCTTCATGTTTTGGAGGTTCCAGGTTAAATATTGACAAAGAGGCCACTTGTGGGTTTTTAATTTCTTCAGTTCCTCCAGGCAGATGCTGGAATAATGCCTGAAATTATGCCATAATTACTACTACATTAGTGGTTCTCAAAATTATAGACATGATGCCCCTCTTTTAGTTTTCACGAAACACAAACGTCCTCCCAAATTTTTTTTATTGACAAGACAGTTTGATATTTTAAAATAGAACTTCTGTGTGGCACTGTGTGTATGGGAGTGGATAGTGCTGACAGGCATTGAAATCTAATGTCTTTTTTCTTAATATCAGGATTAACAGTTCCACTGGATGATTAGAAAAGAGATGGTTACATGCAAGTAAAAGAAATTACTTCAGCTGAATTTGGCATTAATTTTTTCTGTGGCATCAGATTCTCCCTGGACTCCCCCCCATTCCAACCCAAAGGGGCTGCCATGCCCCTGAAGTTTGGGAACTACATCCTTCTACATCCTTTCCAATTTATTATTCAACCAGTCATCATATACAACAGTGTGTAATATTGAGTGCTTGGCAGCATCATTAAATGCATCGTGGGCCATACATAACACACAGCCCTCCGTTTCTGTATATTCTAGACACGATGTGTGTTATGCATGAATGAAATGTACTGTTTGCAATGCATTTTTATACATTTATCTATTGCCAAAGTCGCAGAGTTTCTTTCAGTGACCAGTGACTTTTAAGGTGGTAGTAATTCTCTTGCAAGGATTTTGTGGCTGTTCTCTTTTAATATTAACGAAATGTAACAAATGTGTTTGGATAGAGAGATGTAAAATTTATTTAAATAAAAATTACAGAAAAATAAATATTGTTTCGTATGCACTTGAAGAGTAAATTATGCCTTCATGCACTTCAGTGTAATTTCTGGGAATAAACTATTGCTAAACAGTGACAGGGAATGTAGGATTTGAGGTTCTCACAGTGGTGGTTATGAAGAGTTCTGTCATGAAACAAGACCTCGAGACCTATTCTTGCGACATCACTTTATTACTCAACGCTGTAACTACAATTCAATTTAACTATAACAAAATGTTGAACAAGTTGTTTCACAGTCACTCCTTTCGTGTTAACAACTCTCACTAGACTGTAGAACTGCTCTGCTCCACATGCTGGCTAACCACTGGCTTCTGCCAACACACTGCCATGCTCGGTCCTCAGCTCTACTTTTTATACTTCAAATCGGACAAGAGGGACACATCCCCTCCAGCAGCCCATCTACTGTTACTTTACAGTGGGGAAGTATTTACTGGCAACGTGTGTATTATCGATTCCCAACAAGTTCAGTCTTGTAGGATATAATGCTGTGTAGTCTATTGTAAGTCGACCGGTGTTTCAGAAGAACGTGTCACCTTCATTGTCAGGGTTGAAGAGTAAGCCAAGCACGAAATCAGCATGAATCAGGTAGCAAGCAAAACACATGACTTGCAGAAACATGGGATTATGTAGAAGCAGAACCCTGGGAGCCTGTATGACAGTTCCCACTGGCTGTATCGGAGAACCAGGGTGAAGCAGAAGGAGACAGAAGTGTGACTAGGTTTGCCTCATGTGGTAGCACTCAGTTCTCTGCCAGTCAGATGCACCTGTGAATTTTCATCTTTTCTTCCGTATGTTCCAGGGGCTTTTCAAGGAGGCAAACCTGGTCACTTTTCTTCTGTCCTCTGTTGGTTCACCCTGGTTCTATGATAGCTATCCCTGTAACAGCCTGTGGAGGCCCATAGGTTTTGTGAGACATTGAGGCTCCCACACTTTCTAGACAATCAGCTCACAGATTTTGGTGAGGTCAGCTTTAAGCACCATTTGGCAGCCCTTTAACCCCAGGAAGATTACTGGTACTCATTTCTGTTAAGAGGCTGAGTTGACCCCAAGGCCATAGTGCGGGTGGAAGTATTAGGTGTTGGCTTTCAAGGCCCTTCTGCTTCTATATAACCCCACGTTTTCACAAGCGACATTCCTCACTTGGGACCTGTCTCACGCTGCTTTCTTTGCATGACTTACTCTTCAACCCCAAAGATAGTGGTGACATGTTCGCCCAAAATGTTGGTTGACTTTAACAGGCCACATGGCATTCTATTGCAGAAGATAGAACTTTTCAGTAATAGTGAATGTTAGATCATTTCTGCCCATCTGTAGGTACACATTCATTGGGCACAGCATGTTAGTATAGTGTTAGTGTGAGCTATACTGAGCTCTGCATTTCGGTTGGAGGTGAGGAGATGTATCTGTTTAAGTATGTGCATGTGCCACCATATTTTATCTTTTGAAATTCTGTGAACATCCAGTATCTTGGAATAGATAAGTTTACTTTCTGACTCTGTATCTTCCTGTGTTCAGTGGGCAAATGTAATGATTGCCATCTCAGTAGGTTATACACTAACTGTAGCTGTTAGACAACTGTTACATGAACATGACCACTGCTTCTGTTTCAGTACTCTGGGTGGACACCTCAGAACCGCCATATATATCAGCAGGTACCTGTGAAGTTTCGGGTCCAGAATCGGCTTGAAACTATTGTTGAGTTTATGAGGGACGAGATGGCTTTGGATGACCAGTAAGTGTAAAAGAAATGTTTATATATTAACAGCTGTAATATTTTATTGCCCGTTGCTACCCAGTGTTTTTCTTCCAGTCCTTTTGTCTCATCTAAGATTCTGGATATTCAGTAAACACTCGTTAATCCAGATTAATATTCTTGTAACATTCTTTCGCATTCTCCACATAGTGGTTTTAATTAGTTCTACAGTTTTATGTACAACAATTTATTAAAACTTAATAAAAGCCAGTTACTTTAAAAGTTCTCACGACATAATTATATTTAAGCATCCTGTTGCACTTTATATGATATAACTCCGTCCTAAGTGCAAACTATATTTATAGGTCTTATGTCTTGTTCTCTATACACTACATGTTTCGGCCCCAAACGACCATCATCAGGTGTATACACTCACGTATCTGTTACACTGCACTTATTTATAACATTTAAAATTTAAAAATATTGGTCTTCCTGATTAGCACTTATAAAATCTTCGGTTCTAATTTTGGATCCTTTAACAATTTTTTCTCTTTAAGTTTTAAAATTTAAAAATGTCAGGGTTACTCGCCCTATGTCTATAGTGCTGTAGTCTGTGTGCATGCCGCTGCTATCTTTACTACGTGTAAAGATTGCAGCGGCATGCACACAAGGAGACTACACAGAATAACACCTATACAGTACTAGAAACAAGAAGAAGCCGCTGCAGCACTATAGACATAGGGCGAGCAACCCTGACATTTTTAAATTTTAAAACTTGGAGAAAAAATTTTTAAAGGATTCAAAATTAGAACCGAAGATTTTATAAGTGCTAATCAGGAAGACCTATATTTTTAAATTTTAAATGTTATAAATAAGTGCAGTGTAACAGATACGTGAGTGTATACACCTGATGATGGCCGTTTGGGGCCGAAACATGTAGTGTATAGAGAAGAACAAGACGAAAGACCTATAAATATAGTTTGCACTTAGGATGGAGTTATATCATATATTCTCACGACATGTTTAGACTGAATTGGTCATCATCTGTTGTTAAAAGTTGTGGGTGAGGAAACTGCTATCTTTCTGTGTTAATGTTTAGTTGTTGATATATGGTTCCCGTAGCATGTGTGTCTGTAACAAGTGTAATTCTTCTATTAGAATTTATGTTTGAGAAGTTTTTTTTTGTGGGGGCGGTTATAATTTTACTTGTTCACTTGTTTACTTGTTTGTGTCCTTACATCCCTTCTTGCTGTGTTATGCACTCAGTTGTATTATGTTACTTTTTTGGTGTTTACTATTGTAGGGTAATTATTGTTTTCTGCTAATGTGTTCACCAACATTCTGCTCTGAATTAGTAGTTGTTCAAAAAATGTTGGTCTAAATGGTAACAGAGACACTGTGTAGTAATGCAGCTAGCTGATTGGTCTCTTTCCCCATCAATTTGTCTCTCAAAGCATGTTCATCTACTACTTGCATGTTCTCACAGTCCAGGTCTCTGTGTATGACTTTAAGCTTTCACAGTGATTGTATGCAGTGAATTCTTGGGTGATGACCAGTGTCAGTATGGAGCTGGTATCCAACTTTTGTGGCTGCGTGCTGTATTTGTATCCACAGTAAAGAACATGTTAAATGGGTGTAAGTGTGTGTGCCCATGACTGGAGATAGAAACGGTCTCCAAAATATTGGCCTGGCTGATCACTAGAGAAGACTTCATTGCAGAACTAATTTTGTTTACTTAGTGCCATGTTTTCACCCAAATCTCTGAACGTTGAATAATAATTATTGTTGTTATAGTTACTGTGGGGAATGCAGTAATGTAGCTGGAAGATTGTGGGTTTGATTCCAGATGAGCTCATTGGATTTTTCAATTGACCTAATCCTTCCACACTGATATCAGTGTGTTATACACCATCGTCAGAATCCTATAGTAACTACTAATCCTTTCAGCCACACTGTGGCCCTGGGGTCGACTCAGCCTCTATCCAAAATGAGTATCAGGAACCTTCCTGGGGGTAAAGGGCGGCCGGCTGGTGCATAAGGCTGACAACCTCACTGCCATATATGAGCCAATTGTCTAGAAAATGTGGGAGCCTCGATGTCTTACAAGCCTTTGGGCCTTCATGGCCTATTACAGGGATAGCTTTACCTTTTATTATAGTTATTGTTTGGAAGACTTAGGATTAAATTTTTCCAAGTTGTTTGGTACAGAAATATTCCTGCATCATTTGTGTGTTCCTTTTATGATACATGCAGAACTATATTATATACCGTGACCCCAAAGTTACATTTAGTGTTTGGTGCTGTTGGCATGGCAGGGAGCTGATTGAGAAGTCGATGAAGGAGACAGCCAAGTACCAGGACAACTTTGAAGTGTACATCCAGACGCTCATCTCACAAGCACTTGATTCCAATTTCCTCACTGAGATATTCCAAGAACAAGGTAATTGTCTCTCATCACACTTAGAGATACAACCCATCACCACCATTTTTAAGTGGTAATCTTTTTAATAATCTGTACTCTTCACCAAGTATTAATTTGATAAAGTCAGTATTTTCGTAAGGTTCTTATCGTACAGTGTGGAAAGTTTTTGAGTTAAATGTCAATTTGGATAAGCGTGTGGTTGTGCAAGAACGACAGAAGGTATGAAGAAATTCGTTAATTATAAAATTGAGGCAGAGAGTTTTGAATACTTATGAAGTAAAGTGACAGATGGAAGGATTACAAAAACTAAGAAATGCAGGAAAGATTTTCCAGTTGGTTTGGGATATGCTTTCAAAATGGGAACTAATGCTAAAGGTAGGAGATATATGCTAAATGTTTAGAACATGAAAAGTAAAGGGAAAGCACCCAAGAGGAAGACCAACATCAAGATGAGAACAGCAAGTTAGGAAAGATGTCACACAGCAGGGAGGGTCAACATGGGAGGAATTGGTGGATGAGGAGGAGGAGATTTGGGAAGACAGAGGTGATGGAGATGTCTGGTTTTTGAGCATGTCACATCAAGTGAAAACATCTAAAAAAGAACAACAAAACTAAGGAACATGAAATGGACAGGGAATTTTAGATAATGGTGAATCCTTCAGACAGCACAGCAAGTGAAGGGGAAAGTGAAAGTGAGGTTCCCAGTTAAACACATGACGGTGGTGTCACTCACACTGTCTTGGATATTCCTGCAAGTTATCACCCTTCACAGAAAATACACAACTGAAGCAGATCACGTGAACTAACAGTCTCTGTGTCAAGTCAGGTCAACAGTGCAGCAGAGTGTGCAGCCCTATACAGAGCACGTGAGCAAACCAGTTTCTGTGCCAAGTCATGTCGACAGTGCAGCAGTGTGTGTGCAGTCCTACACAGAGCACGTGAGTAAACCAGTCTCTGTGCCAAGTCAGGTAGACAGTGCAGCAGTGTGCAGCCCTATACAGGGCACGTGAACAAACCAGTCTCTGTGCCAAGTCAGGTCGACAGTGCAGCAGTGTGTGCAGTCCTACACAGAGCACGTGAGAAAACCAGTCTCTGTGCCAAGTCAGGTCAACAGTGCAGCAGTGTGTGCCGCCCTACACAGAGCATGTGAGCAAACCAGTCTCTGTGCAAAGTCAGGTCATCAGTGCAGCAGTGTGTGCAGTCCTACACAGAGCACGTGAGCAAACCAGTCTCTGTACCAAGTCATGTCGACAAGGCAGCAGTGTGTGCAGCCCTACACAGAGCACGTGAGCAAACCAGTCTCTGTACCAAGTCATGTCGACAAGGCAGCAGTGTGTGCAGCCCTACACAGAGCACGTGAGCAAACCAGTCTCTGTACCAAGTCATGTCGACAAGGCAGCAGTGTGTGCAGCCCTACACAGAGCACGTGAGCAAACCAGTCTCTGTGCCAAATCAGGTTGACAGTGCAGCAGTGTGCAGCCCTAGACAGAGCACATGAACAGACCAGTCTCTTTGCCAAGTCAGGTTGACAGTACAGCAGTGTGCAGCCCTACACAGAGCACATGAACAGACCAGTCTCTGTGCTAAGTCAGGTTGACAGTGCAGCAGTGTGCAGCCCTATACAGAGCACTTGAACAAACCAGTCTCTGTGCCAAGTCAGGTCAACAGTGCAGCAGTGTGTGCAGTCCTACACAGAGCACATGAGCAAACCAGTCTCTGTGCCATGTCAGGTTGACAGTGCAGCAGTGTGCAGCCCTACACAGAGCAGGTGAACAGACCAGTCCCTGTGCCAAGTCAGGTCAACAGTGCAGCAATATGTGCAGCCATCAATCACTGTTCTTAACTTGGATCCCTGTGACTACCAGAAATGGAGAAATTTTGGGCCTAATGTTTATCTCAGGGATGAAAAAGCCTCATGTAAAAATGTACTAGATTCTGGATCCTGTTTTTGGAACAGCTGCATTTTCGTAATAAGCGAGCCATTACAGATTTCAGAGCATGTTGTTCTTGCATTTTGGCTACAACTGTATGCACCAGCACAGTACAGATGAACTGTGCAATGTACAACCAGCTCTACGAATTTTGACACACAAATTTTCAAATACACCCCATGAAAAGAAATTAAACTAGGCAAAGGATTATTAGGTCAGTCACAGTGGCCATGTGGTCTAAGGCATGGATGTCTGTGTCTGTTTATTCTATGTGCTGTCCTGCGTGCAGGTAGCAGCCTTGCAGTGACCTGATCTCATGGCCAAGAATTCCTGTTGACTGTGAAAAGATTAAGAAATGAAAAAGTGGTGAAGGTCCAACAAAGGGCTGTAGAGCCATAGATAGAAAGTAATGTTAGCCCAGAGGAACCGGTTGCAATTTCAAGTATACAGCTCAGAATGTGTGACATTATAATGAGAATGGTGTGTGAATCTGCAAGAAGGTACATCTGTGATGGAAATGATTTAACACTGAACAGCACACTTTTTTACCTCATCCATATCTTGGACAAGAATATGAAATGTGGACATTTAGTACAGTAATGTAAAAATCCATGGAAACAGCTGCATGAGAAGGGCACAGCTACTTCTGGAACACACGAAACAAGGACCTCCATATGGATTTGAAGGAAGACCTAAATTCAGTGGAATCTTTGTGTAATGTTCCTCAATTTAAGATTTTGTCATCATTTAGTGTTGATGAATTTCACCAGTACCAGGATAATAATCCCCGTGTTCATTGATCTGCATTTAAGATTTTCCTGTTTAGTGCTGAAATCTACTGGTCCCAGAAGAAATCTGGAAAACACGTTTTATGCATTAATGTAGGAGAGATGACAATTGAGCGCAATGGAGCTATGTTACTGCTGTCATAGATGGATAAACGAATCATAAACACACTCTTTGCTGTTTGGTCTGATGTGATGGTTCAAGTCACCTGGGCTGGTAGCAGAGTTACTGGAAGTGAAAGCGTTAGTATTATCTTCCTGTCACCTGAGTGGCCTTTTCCTTCCTTCCCATTTCCTCCCATGTGTGCTTTCCTGTCTGTCTCATTATTTCTGAAACCATAAAATTTGTGGGCAAGGAAGCAGTTCCCTCACATTGTGGTTCTGTTTTTGCAAAGATAGTAATGACAACAACAACGAATACATTGAGGAAGTTTGTGTGCTCTGTTACGGATTACCATTTTAATTCGTGTTGTATAACTGCATATGTTGATGAACTTCCATTATTTACTTATTCTTTAATGTTCACAGATGATTATTTCCTATCAAATGTGAAGACAGTGGATGATGTCACTGAGGAGAGGAAGCGACGGTTACTTGGAGTAGCTCAGTGGAAGGCGGGACTTCAGACCAGTGTTGGTACCTGGCCGTGCTTCAATGTCATCACTGATCTGCCTGCAGATGAGAAGCAGGAGAAACTATGCGCTGCGTGTGACAAGTCGCAGGTTTCTGTTAGGGTCCAGATGTATGGGCAACCTTATAATTCCACCACCCTTGAAGGGTGCCAACCTGATCCAAAAGTTGCCAATCAGAAGGTGAGTAAATTTGTTGCAGTAATATATTGGTGTTTGTGCTTTAAAACTTTGTGATCTTTTTATACAGTGTTAATTAATTATAGTGAAACTTCATTTATATGTTCTCACAGCATACATTTTGCCATGATTTACCTCTTTTTTAGTCCCATTATTGCCCCAGCTTTTTAGTTGTTTTAGTTCCTGCAAAATGTAAATAATTTCACTTGAATTTCCTAGGTTTAATGCTTTTGTTCATGCGTGCAGGCATCATGGAAGATTTTGATTTTTGTTAAGTTAGCCATTATTGTTTAATTTGTTAGCTGAGTCTGCATCATAAATTGCTCTTGTTTTATTTCAAATCATTTGTCTGATAAGGCATGATGGGCACACAAAAGGAAAGAAAACCATATCCAGGAATGTTATATTTTAGCGTCTTGTTGCACTGATTCACGTTCATGATGTGTATTTGTACCAATACAATGCACGCAGTCACAAGGGAAGGACACGACACAGGACACAATATACACAAGAATATAGGAAGAGTACTCCCATAGGAGAGGATTGACGTAACTCGCGAATTTGAAGTGCGACGTATAGATGATAAATCTTGAAAAGTTTGAATATATAAACTTTATTATTATACATGACATATATACATTTTAATCATTTTATAAAGGAAACATGATTGCATACAGTGCAGTGGTTTGACGTAAATAAAACCACACCTGAAGATGGCACATTAGTGCTGAAACATGTAGTGAAGAGAAAGGTGAAATTGTGTGTACCGTAAGACGGTTGGTACAAATACACATCATGAACGTATATCCAGGAAACTCAACACGCCACATGACATTGATAAACACATGTAGACTTGTATTTCCCTCGCAAAGATTAGTAGTACATAATATCATCTGTGAAGATAGTAGTCAAGAACTGTTATGTCATCCAAATTTGAAAAAAATTAAACAGATTCTGCACTTCACAAATTATTTTATTTCTTACTGTGATACTGTGTGTTTTTAGTTTATGGGAATTTTATGCTGTAAAAATGTTGAAAGCCTTTACTTTTTGATTTATCTACATTATTTGCCGATCATTTCAGTTAATGGCTAATATTCAGTCATCACAATGCAAATTGTGTCTGTAAATGACTGCTGCAACGATTCATCATGTTCTCGCACATGGACCACTATTTGTCTTATATTGCTGGAATGCTTTTAAGTGACAGCTCTTAGAACTGTGAATAAAATAATGTGTAACGTCTGATCAAGTGTATCTGTGTGAAAAGATGAATTTCAAACTCTGGGTCAAAATAACTGCAGTTTTCTCTCATCCTCATTTTGTGGGAAGGAGAGCAACTGCAGCTAGTATTGAATTTGTTCTACCTATCATGGGTTTATTGCAGGAGTAGAGGATTATGAAACATTTGGTATACAATGTTTTTCTCTTGACAGTAACAGGAAGGTTTCTTTTTCACAACAAGGGATCATCTTGAAGGGTGAAGTCAAAAGAGGAGGCAGGATGGACAACTGTGTTGTACAATTGTTGTGTATCTGCACATTATCCACCATCCTGTTCTTATTTAAAACACACAGTGTTTTGGGGACTGGATCCTGTCTTCATATTCAGGTGGAATGAACTCAGTCGACAGAGCTAGTCCCTGTCTGATATTGGTCTTGACCACTCATCCTTGACTGTTATCTAGGGCAGTGGTTCTCAACCTTTGTGAGACTACAGCCCAGTAAATTCTTTTTTTTATAAGAAAAGGACCTGGTATAATCGATGCCAGGACCCAGTACTGGACTGCGGCCCTGTCGTTGAGAAACGCTGATCTAGAGCATGTAATTATCAGCAGGCTTCTGATAATCTTATAGGTAACATTGTTCAGCAGAAAACATTTCATTACATCCAATACGACAGCACCAAAATCTAAATTATATAGACATGTTTAAATAGAAGTGAAGTGACTGCATGTAGTATGATGATAAGGAGAACAAGTAAAATGTGCTGTTACATGTTCCAGAGATTCTTCGGGTAGAAGCAATCCCTTAGAAATCCTTCTAGAAGAATATCAAAATGGCGATATTCTGAGAATTCATATGCTTTTATGTAGTGCCAGCATCTCAGTTGAGCACACTGAAAATGTGCATTTAACGACAATTACGTGCCATATTGCGTATGTTGTTGTCCCCCTAATTGGAGGACTGTGCATGAGTGGACAGATCACTCAGATTATTGATTTCAACTTTATTAAGGGAATATTTCTTTTATTGAAGACTGAAAAGAGAAAAAGTTTGAAATGCTTTTGATATTCCCATAAGATTATGTTTGATACGTAAAGTTTCATGCATTTTGACATTTAATAATGTTAAAGTTCATGAATGCTTGGAAGAATTTTGTCATGTAGATTCTGTTGGAAACAAAAAATCTAAATTTCTTACATTAATGGAATTTGTCTTGTAAGGTGCAAAGGTACCAGATATGAGGTGTAACAGAGAATGATGTTTATTCAGTTGAGGGATATGTCTCTAGATGTTCTTATGCCTGTCTCTTTCCTCATTTCCTTGTAGCTTCTGTTGTTAAAGCCCCCTGTGTATTGTTTCAGGACTTCCTGTTATGCAGTGTATGTGTGGGACGAGTGGAGCTCTATAACAAGGTAGCCCACCAGAAATACCTAATGTATATAGAATGTGCCAAGCGGGTAGCAGAGAAACGTTCCAGTGATCCCTACAAGGACACTACCATTATACTCAATGAGCTGTTGGCTGATGAAGCCTGGCTCAATCAGGTTTGTATATGCGCATAATGTTAAGAAGACTTTCTTCAGTTATAATGTACTTTATACCAGTGTTGTCTGTCATCATGGCAAATTTAAGAGTTGGTTCTGCTTTGGCTTCAGGTTGCTACTGTACTGACAGATTTTGTATTTTTTATTTTGAGAGATCAAGTCAAATGCAGAACCCTTTAAATACAAGGTTTCTAAGCTAGTGCAGTAACCTGTGTAAATGTATTAACTTTTTTTTTTCTGTATCCTGTTGTGTATCTGTATCAGGGGCATAATTATGGGTCATCTACACAGCAGTTGATTGTAAACCTGTATTTAGTATTTGGGTTTATTTTCATGTTTCGATCTACAGAGATGATCATGTGGTTTTGTGAATATACGAGGAGTGTTACATATATAATGCCTCCTATTTTTTTTTTAATGACAACTACAACAGATACAGAAAGCATAATAACACAGTTAAATAGAGTAAGATTTTGGCTACTTAACAGTTTTTTTCCACATAATAACCACCATTCATTATGCACTTTTGCCATCGATGAACAAGAGCCTGTATGCTGTGCCTGTAAAAGTCTGCGCCAGCAGAGGCTAGTCACTTTCTTACAGCTGCAATGACAGCATCGTTGTCTGGAAAATGTTGCCCACGTAGTCCATCTTTCATAGGCCCAAAGAGATGGAAGTCTGAAGGTGCTAAATCGGGGCTATAAGGTGGAAGTGGTAGGGCAGCCCACCCAAACTTTGCAATGTGCGCAGTGGTCACCAAACTGGTATGGGGGTCTAGCGTTATTGTGTTGTAAGCGAAAGGTTGTCTGCTTCTCTGGCCTGACTCGGGAAATGCGGGCTTTCAGCTTAGTCAGCGTCATCTTGTAGCGTTCAGAATTGACAGTCTCACCAGGCTCCAGGTAATTGAACAAAACCACACCCTGCCTATCCCAAAAGACCATGCACATCACTTTCCCTGCCGATGGCTGTGTCTTGAACTTCTTTTCTCTTGGAGAATACGGATGTCGCCACTCCATGGACTGTCTTTTGGATTCCGGCTCGTGGTGACACCATGTCTCATCTCTGGTGACGATGCTGTCCAGAAACTTGTCACTTTCAGCCTCAAACTGGTGCAACAGGTCCTGACAGACTTCCATTCGATGAGTTTTGTGGTCCTGTGTAAACATCTGCGGGACACACCTGGAACAAACTTTGTGATAATCCAGTTTCCCCAACATCGTTTCCAATGCATTACAGCCGATATTAAGCCATGCACACTGTTCTCTGGTCATTATCCGCCGATCTGTACGGATGAGCTGATCAAGGTGCTGTTCATTGTGAGGAGTGGCAGCTGAGCAGTGATGCCCAGGGCGTGGTTTGTCATTCACTTCACTTTTGCCACTGTTGAAACGCACTACCCACCGCCTCACTGTGCTGACATCCATTGTATCATCTCCGTACACCTTTAGCAAGTGTCGATGGATGTCAGTGGGTGCAGTTTGTTCGGCAGTGAGAAATTCAGTAACACATCTCTGTTTCATATGCACTTCTATGTCAGACGCCATTTTGGTAGACTGCTCTGCTGTCGCTATCTGTCGCACAACAACCAAACTAATAGTACATTGGCAGGAATGTTCGATCTTTACTACAACACCACCAGCATCCAGCTCAGACGTTACAGATTAACACAAAATACATATGGATCCATTTTCTACATTTACCAGTAATATCGTAATCTGAATTTTAATTTTTTTTAGTGTGGGATGTTTTGAATAATATATGCTAGTTGTACCAATAATCATCAGCACAGCAGTGAGTGAGTGATATATCACTAGTTACTTATTTTGAGACTGCATCATGCTTCAGTCATATTGCCCATTATCAGATGATATGTGTGACGTATTGCGCTATGGAGGACATCCCCTGCCCCGCCAGCAGTGATGTAACAACATCGGAGCGCTGTCATTACTACGGTAACATGCCAGTCAACACTCCGCCCCCGTCCCCCGTGGTTGCTATGCAGCAATAAACCACTCTTGGCAGCGTTGCCCAGCAACACCTGTAAACGCGACTAGGCAACAAGGAAGCGAGGAGTTTTCCCATTGTCTGGCTGAGGGTTTATAAGAAGTTAGTTAAAATGTAGCAGCCGCTGAAGACAGTTGAATTATAGCAGCAGTCGCAGGGAAGAAGACCCGAACACGTGGTTGGAAGATTTGATGTGGTAAATTTTGATACTGCTGAGGGCAGTAATTGTGAGATTGTAAATTGTGTGATTGTGAGAGCGAATATGCAATAAATTTACTTTATCAAATAAGTCATGAAGTTACTTGTGTGACATATACATATATATATATATATATATGTGTGTATACATTTACAAATGAAATTGTACATTAATCAACTCCTATATTACTGGAACATTCTCTTTGAAGAAACTGGATCTGTTTCTGAAATGAGGTTTTAAGGTGTATTGTAAATTATGTGTGTGCGTGCCTACACACACACACACACACACACACGTACCCTATGTGAGAATACAATTATTATTGTTAAAGGAGAAAAAATGTGAGAATACAATTATTATTATTATTATTATTATTAAAGGAGAAAAAATGTAAAAGGTAAAATTGTGTATGTGCTTAATTCATTAATTAATCACCATAGCATATAAATGTTTGAGGAAGTGGAGGCATAGCTTCACCATGCACCCTGGCTGCTTTGCCCCAGGGAAAGAACCTCTTGATGCCCATTGGATAGGAGGCTGGGTGCTCCCCAGAGCCAATGTGGATGCTGTGGAGAAAAGAAAAATCTAGCACCAGCCAGGAACTGAACCCCAGCCGTCCGGCACGTGGATTGTCACTATAATTGAGCTATCCCAGCTCTGAAAGAATTGTTATTACAGGTTTTAAATATTGGACCTCTGCTGGTATACTGATATATTGGGTTTTTGGACTTCATCCATCGTCCTGGTTTTTAAGATAACTAATAAAAACATGACGTTTCGGAAACTGGATCTGTTTCCGTACTCAGGTGAAGGAAAACACCTGTTCTGTTGGGTTCGTTAGAAAGAGCTAGCCTCAATCACTGGTCCAGTGATTGAGGCTAGCTCAGAATCCTATAGTAACTACTCTGCTGGTATAGTATGTGAAGGTAATGATGATATTTGAGTATGTAATGTTGGGATTCGTGTACATTATCCTCTTTACGTTGGAGGTCTATTTTTTGAGGACATGATACTGACTGTTGTATATGGTTGAAATAGTAACAACAGATCATAAAATGATGATGGTTAAACCAAGTGTAGGCCGTGCCATAGCTCAAGCAGTTAGTTGCTGGCTTCCCACTGTGGCGGCCCGGGTTCAATCCTGGGTCTGGTCAAGTGGGATTTGTGGTGGACAAAGTGGCAACGGGGCAGGTTTTCTCTGAGTACTTCGGTTTCCCCTGCCAATCTTCATTCCACCAATTGCTCTACAATCACCCTCACCTCTCATCTGGGGCTGGTACAATAGGCTAGAAGTGGTCGCCGTACAAGGGACTTAGTCCCACCCCACTAGCAAGAAAAAGAACCAGTTGTGTGTTTTTATTGTATACCATGACATGTTGACTGAAAGACAGCTGATGGTATGCAATGACTGGTAAATGATGCCAACACAGTGTTTTCTATGTGACACACATCATTTTATGTGCTGTATATACCAAGGCTGTGTAACCAGACCAGACAGCCAGTGAGAGCTGGCAATAGCCAGTCAGTGGACAGTCATGGCTAGAAGGCCATGAGTTACAGGTGAGACTCTATAGTTGGAGTAATGAGATGGTTATTTGCCAGGTGGTAAGGACAGAAGAAGAGGACATTGTTGGGATCTGTTGCCAGGCAACAGCTGATGAAGACAAACTGAGAAGACTTAGTGTGTTCTGTAGTGAGAAGTTGGATGCGTGAATTTGCTAGAGCGCTATGGTTACTTGAGTCAAGATTTATGTGTTCGGTAAATCCAAATGCCAAATCAGACTCCGTGTCTAATCACTGACATGTGACAGTACTTTGTAATTGGTGGATATTGCAAGATGTTTTTTTTAATGTCTCATGGCTGTAGTTTTGATCTAGAAAGCAATATATATATTTACAGGATATTGTATCTGAATTTGTAAAATACATTAACCTGGCTGTTAATTTTCTTTACTTATGTATATCATAGGTGTGGTTGTTGTTATAGCGTGCTGTGATGTTTGATGTAAACTAATTAGTGACTAATGGTGTATTAAGATCTGTTAACCATTTTATTCTCACACGTGGGTGTGCATGCATGTGTGCGAGTGTATAATTTAAGACACCTTAAAACCTCAGATGAATCTGGTTGTCAGTAAGGAATCTTGCAATAACATCAGAAACCGTTAAAAAAATATATATATATTTTTTGTTGTTGTAAATTTTATACCTCTTGGTGGCTGTGAGTACAACTGAAATTTGTCATGGACTTGAAAAGAAACTGGTGATATATTCATCAATTAATTGCAGTGTAGATGGTTATTAATACAATTTTATTAACACAGATCAGAATGCAGAGACCAATGGTTATGGTCCCAGTAGCCTAGTGTTTGAAAGGTTTCTGGGTCAAACCCAACCATTGCTGTTAATCGAAAAATTAAAATATATTGTCGCGTATCGGGCGTATATCGCGACAAGTAACTTCACGCCGTATTTTGTATAGCGAATTTTATTTCACATTCGCACTTACAATCGCCCAAATTACAGATTTACGGTTACTGCTATCTGCAGTATCACAATTAGTACACTCCAAATGCCAGAATACAACTGACTAGTTGCTGGCTAACTT